TGGGGCATGGCAGTCGAGGCCTGGCTGACATAGCACAGGGTCCTTGGCTGCGTTTTCCCTCACTCTCAGCCTCTAACGTGTCTGCTCTGGACTTGGCCAAAGAATCATGAGTGGACTTTCTGAGCTAAGATGCTCTTCATTCCTCATGATCTTCTGGGCTGATGCCCTGTCCTACACTCCCACTTTCTGTGCACAGTACATCCAATCTCTGTGTCCTGTGGGTGTGACCTTGAGACATGTGACCTGGTCATAGGAAATGACGGAAGCCAGGAGACGGGATTGAAGATGAAAATCGCAGCAAAACAGGGTGCGATATGAGACCGAGTGTATCTCTTAGCTCCTTTCATAATTAAAGTAAGAATTGCTTTTAAAACAGAGACTATCTTTCTATGACACCTCTTTTGCCCCTTTGGTTGAAGTCCAGGCCGCGGCGTGTAAGGTTTTCACGGTCTGGGCTCTGCCTAGCGGCCTAGCCTGCCAGGGGTCATGCTCTGCTTGGCGTATAGTCTAGAAAAATCAACTGCTTACCAGGAAACACACACCAATTCCAGGGCATGTCACCGAGGTGGCATTCCCAGCAGTGTCATGCCGCGTACAATGGTCTGTTTGTGTATTTGTAAGCTCTGTGAGGGTGAGCACGCAATCCATTCACCTCAGCATTTATGGGCTGGAGGACCACCGAACCTGGCACACTCTAGATGCCTGGGATGGAACCGAGTCCCCAATACGGCCCTAAACAGTCCTTTGCTGTCTCATCTCCCAATATTTCTGTACCCAGTATCCAGCTGGAAATAGCTGTGGGCATGTGCAGACTCTGAGACTTTGTGCATCACATTCCCGATTCTTAAAATTTAGCCCAACTCCTGGCCGGCATGCCACCTTCTCCGTATGCTGAACTTGTAGTCATTTTTCAAGATCCAGATCAAATTCCAAGTCCACACCTAAGGCTTGCCTCCACCAGGACCAGGCAGCGTTGTTTCCTTGGCGTTCTGTCCCTTTGTCGTCATCGTTCCGGTCTGTCCCCAGGTTCACTGTGCCACGTCACCACCTTCCCATTTACAGGTCTCTCTCTCTCTCCTGCGAGAGCGTAAGTGCCTGCAGGGCAAGGCGGACATTGTCAATTTTTTAAATATTTGCTAAAGCAATTAAAAAATGAGTATCTGTCTCACAGTTCATACATAAAAGGACAAAACAGCCCCATTTGAAGGTCTCACTTGATTGCGGTTTCTTTCTCTCATAATTTCTGTTTTTAACTAGATTGTGAGTTTTTTGAGTCTGCTTTTAAAGCAATCTTTTCGTGTGTTCATCTATATGTTCAGTTGTCAGATACATTTTAAAGGTTTACCATGTGCTAGAAACTGGGAATTAAAAAATTTAATAAGACCCAGACCCAGTTGCAGGAGAAGATGTTGGGATGAAGGGTCCCAATTCCTAATCAATAACAATTATTTAAATCCTTTATATAGTTACCGGCATCGACCAAAGGAAACGATTATAACAAAAGCCATATGTTTTGAAAAATGATAACCAAAGAGACACAGAAGGTCCTGTCATGGCTTGCAGTTGCTTGTTACTTGCATTATCTGTGCCTCCTGAAGTAATACCAGGGCAAGAATACATGAATCGACATTGGTGAAATACTAAGAATTCTTTCCAGTATTATTTTTTCCCTGCCTACAACAACTTTGGAGAGAATCACCTGGAAAGAATGAGTGGGAGGCTCACAAAAAGGCTTACCTCCCTACCCCACAATTCTTAGGTCCTCAACAGAGATAGGAAGATGGTTTCCATTTCCTGGGTCTCTAAAGTGGGGGAAATAATTCAAGCGCCAGGAGTGGTCCCAACAGGACTAGGGTGCAGCTCTGCCGTGGAGGGAATCCTGAGAAGGCTGTTTAACTATCCCTTGGCAGAGCCGGGTTACCCCAGGAAGCTTCCCTAGCCTCAGAGAAGTGTCCCCTTCTCAGCCCCCCTCCTACTCTCTGTCATTAATCCAGAGGGAAGCAGCCATTACAGCAGCCCCCCAGGCCAAACTTGCAAGATAGTTATCACATGAGCTGAAGAATGCATCAGAGAGAATTCTGCAGTGACTCCCCTCTAGGTGGGGTTGGAGGCCTGTAAGTAGCTTGTTCAATACCAGTAAAAGCCAAAGGAACATGGACATCTATCACAAGGAGGCTGCTGGCTGGCCTCGAGGGGACTTCTGGTCCACCCATAATCACTTCTTGGTGATTGCCTTAGGTGTAACTGTCTTGGCCAAATAATAGGAGGGTGTTTATGCTTATTTTCTTCAAAAAGAAATCTTATATCTATGCCATAGTTGCGGAATTTTCTTCTCTTCAATTTAAACTCACTTTTCAAACGTGGAGGGTATTGTAATCAACTGTGGATTCACAAGGACACATGTTATTTTGAAATTTCTGTTCTCTTTCCTATTCTACTGCCTTCGGGAGGGCAGACTAAAAAGATGCCTTCAAGTCCCCTTTCTTTCTCTTCTCGAAAACCCAGAGCAAGCCACAGTCTGGGCTGTCTGCTGACTTTTCTGTACTGGCCTCCTAGTTTCCTAAAAGCCCCGCACATTCCCCACTCTGCCCGATGCTTACCAAACGCCATTCAGTTTCAGAACGGTCCTCATCCTTCCAGCCAGGATGTCTCTCCATCCAGGGCCTGAGAACCCTACATTTTCCCAAATGCTTATACAGAATAAATAAGAAAAAACAGAACATGTACATGTTGAACGACATATGCTGTTTCTGTTTCGCATTCTAGATCTCGCGTGTCATTCGCACCCCCCGGGGGAATGTCCTCCTGGTTGGGGTGGGCGGATCGGGAAAGCAGAGCCTGACGAGGCTGGCTTCGTTCATTGCCGGCTATGCTTCCTTCCAGATCGCTCTGACAAGGTAACAAGATTTCACTTTACTTAACCCGAAATGGATTTTGATAAAAGGTTCTCAGAGGCCACCTGAAGTTAAAATGCATTTTTCTTATACATGAAAAATCACGACAGTGTTTCTTCTTGAATGTTGACTTATCATCTTCTCCTTTCAACATCCGTCACAGATCATGAAAATTTCGCATTAATAATTTGCTTTTGAAACATTTTGGTCTCTCATTGCAGTGAATAGCTGTCTTCTTGTTTTTATGTTATCATGATATTCCTTTGGTGCACTTCAGAAGAAATTTATCCTACAAAATGTTAATTCAGATTTCAAGGATGTTAATAAACTGGGAAACCATGAAAAGTTTATATGGATTTACTCATTCATATACTTAAAATTTTTAATTGAACACATCAACTAATGTGTCAGGCACCGGCTAGGTGCTGGGGAGTAGGTGGAAAGCAAGGTAAACCTGTCCTGTGTCACCACGGAGTTTGCAGTAACCCAAGGTGGACAGACAACTGAGCAAGTCGTTCAATTAGGTATGATATGTAGGTGCTGTAAGGAAATAAATGCAGACCAGATTCTGTTGAAACATGAGGGAGATACTTCTAACCTCGTCTAGCAGATGATTATAAAAGGCTTCCTGGAGGGAGAGATGTTTCAACTGAGACCTGAATGTGAGTAGAAATTATCTCAGAGAGGAGGAATGGTAAAGAATGTTCCAGGCAAAAGAATCAGCACATGCAAAGTCCTGTCTGAGGCACTGGAAGAAGTGAAATATGGGTGGGTGTACAGCACAAGGTAGGAGTGGGAAAGGAGGAGAAATAGAGGCCTTCGAAGGTGTTGTCGGAATTTGGACTTCATCTCAGAGCAGTAGGAAACCATCAGCGAGGCACTGCTATGGAAGGTATGTTGGATTTGTACGTACAGAAAATGGATGGAAGGATCCAGACTAGACTATTTATAAGGCTGTCTCAGGGATCTAGGCAAGAGAAGATGATGTCATGAGTGGTAGTGGTAAGAATGGAGAAAATAAGACAGGTTCAAGTTCAAGGGATCGTTAGGAAGTTGAGCTTTCGGACTTGATCCATCCTGGTTCTGGCTTGGGAAACTAGATCAACAGCGCTGCATTAAGATAGGGGACCCCAGGAGGGTTGTCCTCAGATGTATATGTGTCACGCAGGGAGAATTAACAAAGAGAAAAGTCGACATGAAGAGATTAGCAGCGATGATTTAGAGATGCTTCACAGAATTTCGGGATTTCAAGATAAGATGAGAAGCAGGAGACCAGTTCAGGAAGTTTAGTTGGGTTGAAAATTATTAGAGGTTGATTTCTAGATGTGGGAGCAGGAAGTCTTTCCTGTCGGGCATTGATCAAGAGCTGTGGCATGGCACCTTATGGAAAAACCTTCAGCTGACATGTCTCATTGATGGAGATTCATAGATTCCTGCTAGGAGAAAGGTTGAAAATGATTAAACATTGGGTTTGGAGAGCCAGATATTCAAGTTTTTATTTGGTCTGAATTATAGAGTTCTGCTCGGAGAATAAATCTAAAAACTTGCTATTATTTTCAAATATTAAGATGAGAGAAATAATTCTAATTACCTTGTATATAATTTTTCTAGTTTGCAAATAAAAGCAAAGTTAGATAAAAAAATAACCTGGACAAGAAAAAGACTGGGCTCTGAGACTCTTTTCCCTAATATTTGTATAACACCCTATAGTTCTCAAAGCACTTTTACAAGCACAAACTAATTTAATCTTTAAAAGGACTTTGTGAATTAGCAGCGCATGTAACGTGAGCCTGTCTTCTAGCTGAGCCTCAGAGAGGCCGTCACCCATCTGAAATCCCAAATCGACCTCGCAGTTGACCACAGTATCTCTGGTTCTGGTCCGGCTTGACTTTCACTGCATCACACAGTCTCAGTGAAAATATCTTATGACTCTTCTCTCTCTGATAAATTGTTTCCTCTACATGTCATACTGGAGATGCTCCATTACTGATAAAAAGGGAGGTCAAGGCCTTCTTGTCTTCTCAGAGCCTTCAAAAACCCATCCTACTGCTAAGCCTTTGCACAGACTCAGGAAGTAAGAGCCTCACATTTGGGGAGCACACAGCTCTTTGTTGTGCATGTGACTCCGGCCATATTATTTGACCCTCTTGATCCAAGGGCTGGGCTGAAAGTTTTCCCATATCACGAGAAACTGAAATGAGATATTTCCTCCTCCCCGCTTTTTTTTTGTTAGAGGGACTGTGTCATTGAAATTCTTTTCTGATCTCTTAGATCTCAATTCTCTAGAAGTCTTCTTAAAATATCGATGCGTGATAGTGGTACTTTTGGTTCTAGAGTTTGGGTTGTTGATGTTGAAAAAGCACAGAGCATAGAAGTTAAATATTTAGTATTTTTTTTTTTTTAAATCAGAAGGCCATTTGTTCTTATACTCTGAACTCTGAGTTTATTTAATGACACAAAATTCAAATAATAGTTTAGTAAGTTTGAGTGTCCAGGACGGGAATATCTTTATTTTCACTTTTGGCAGTAATGGGCTACTTTATACTGGGACTTCTCTCACGTTTCATGATTGCAAGCTGCTTTCCACCAAAGTATTGCTTTTAACAGTGAAAGAAGGTTTAGGCTGGGATACTTCATAATGTTTATAGCTAGTCTACTACAGTGTGCTGATTGCTTAGCAAACCCTTTCATGTGGGATCCAAAGATGTAATGAAAATAATTGTGTTGGGGGATGAGGAAGGTACCATTTCATATAAGACATCTCCCTCACCCCATATAATGGCTTAAAATGATTGAGTTTAATTTATGAGCTATCTTCTAAAATACCATTGCTGATGGTGCCTAGTAAATCTTCTAATTAGACTTTTCTATAATCATTTTCAACAGTCACATGCACAACATAAATACACTCAGATGACATTTAGTTGTGGTAAACATAGTAGTTTTGTTTCAGGTTTTCTTTTCATTCTGGATTTTTGTTGTGTGTGTGTATAAAAAAAATTAATTGTAATGTTTCATAAAATGTGGAGTTTTGAAAATCAATTTCATCTTTGCAAGTAAATATAATGTTACTTGACTTGATATTGACTAGTCTTGTTGTGGTGATCACTTTGCATTACATACAAATATCGAATTATGTTGTACACCTGAAACTAATGTAATGTTGTAATGTCGATTATACCTCAATAAAAAAAAGTTCTTGACTTCAGTAAACAGCAAAGTACTCAAAAGTTTGCTGAGATGTGCACCTCTATTACTCCCAAAGGCATAGCTATTAGAAACTGAAAGAAATTTTTAAAAATCAATTTCACCTTTGCAAGTAAATATATTGAACCAGTATCATTCACACACGATGAAATACTTATCGTGGAACAATATCAGCATTTTTTTTTTGATTCACCAAGTGGCATAAAGCATTGTTTTAAGGACCCTTCCTTCCCATCAAAATAGTTTAGCTAATGGCACAATGACAATATCTCTTTAGATCTTACAATGCAACAAATCTGATGGAGGACCTGAAAATTTTGTATAGAACGGCCGGTCAGCAAGGCCAAGGGATCACTTTTATTTTCACGGACAATGAGATTAAGGATGAGTCGTTTTTGGAATATATGAATAACGTTTTATCATCGGGTGAGGTAGGATCTCATTTATTCTTCATGTGTTTTGTCTCTTCGGAGTCCTAACTCTGGAGCTGTCTGTATTTCCTTGCATTAGAGATTTGAATCAGTGCTGTTATCGAGGATTAGGTGATCAGTCTGAAGAATGGCTTTTTCTGTCGGGTTTTTGAAGAATAAAATTCCCAGTCAAAATGCATTTAAAATGTCAGTGAATGCTCCACGTGAAAAACGAGAAAGCAGAAGAGAGAGGCTACTATTTTGCAGTTAATTATAGAATCGTTTGTGTATTTTATTTTATTTTTTTGTTTTATATTTTTTAAATACTTTTTTTGGTGTATTTTAAAACGTGGTGCATTTCATCTTGAAGACTTTTGGTTAGTTTTCCAAAGGTGACTTTAAGACACAGATGGAGGAAAGACAATATAAATATGGAGCTATCTGTTTCCATCTGTTTCCATATGCCTGTGCTGAATTTGAATGCCTGCGCTTCTTTTTCAGGTTTCCAACCTATTTGCTCGTGATGAAATTGATGAAATTACTAGTGACCTCATCTCAGTCATGAAAAAAGAACACCCCAGGCGCCCCCCAACCAATGAGAACCTGTACGACTACTTCATGAGTCGGGTCCGACAGAACCTTCACACCGTGCTCTGCTTTTCACCGGTGGGGGAGAAATTTCGAAATCGAGCTTTGAAGTTCCCTGCCCTGGTTTCAGGATGCACTATTGACTGGTTCAGCCGATGGCCGAAGGACGCCTTAGTTGCTGGTTAGTGCACTGGAAATTTTTGTGTCAGAGTTTCAGGTTTACAGTGTGTGTTTGTTTATGTTCCGTGCTGTTTGCTGTGTCTGTACTGAATTGAGCCCAAAGTCACTTTGTCCAAAGCTTGAGGATTTTTGCAAGGTGGTAGTCTTTCTTATTTGGTAGCTGATTTTTCCCAGGGCATGGTTATCAGAGAGTAAGATCTTTAGTCTGTACCCCTTGGATTAATATACAATGTCGCTGCCGAGACTTTGTCACAGTTGGATTCCCAGGCACGTTCTGGAATGTCACAGGAAGCCACGGAGCTTTTTATTTCGATAGCATTTGTGTTCTTTTTTTTTAAGTGGGTTAGTCAGCCTAATAGTATTTTAAGCTGAGGAAATGCGTCTTGGACATTTCCTCCTTGTGGCTGCAGTGTTGGAAATCAAATTGGAAATCATTTTCCAGCAATCCTCTGATGATGTCTGTCCTTGAAAAAGAATGTCAACCAGAGGGTTCTGACTAGGGTCCTTGCTATTTCTGCTTCTCTCTGTTCTTCCGTCTTACGGAACATCGATGCTTCTCTTACTCTAAATGAAATTGAACATAAAAGTAGTAATGGAGACGTTAAAGATCATTCATTTAGTTTATGTTTGTTTTTTTTTCAGCTTTTGGTGAGAAATCACCTGTGCATATTTTAAGTGATAGAGATACTTAGGTGCCACCTCTGACCTATCATATCAGAACCTCAGGGGAACTCCGATTCAAGGATGGTGGATTTCAAACTTTTTATCTGTTATATTTTAATAATAATTTGGAAGAGTTTTATTTCCCAGTAAAACCTTGCAGGTAGCCATAATAGAGAAAGCAGACAGTGAAAAGTGGAGGGGAGACACCCCACTCCTGCCTCCCACACTGGCTCTTCAGTTCCGTGGTATCCAGTGACAGAACTGCCAATCGACCTGTCCCCTGCCTTTTACAAATGGAGGAACTGGGGATAGTGAAGCTGGAGGGAGTTGTCAGAGGTGCAAGCAGACAGAAGCATCAATGATTGGGCCTAGAACCTAGATTTCTCTATATATTAAACAAACTCTTATCCACTGGGGAAGTTTTGATCTCGGCATACTCCTATTGACAATAATATTTTTCAATAATATTTTTAATTAAACACAGATTATTTAAAGACATATGAAGTGCCGATGTATAGTTTTCTCTTTTGTTTTCTAAGGTTTGAGAAAAGGCCAGTGATTAAAAATTTAAGTCCTGTTAAAATGTAAATACAACTAAAGGTAAAACTTTAAAATTCCTTGAAGTAGGATATAAATGCAGAGCACAAAATGACAGTACTTAAGAACTATGTTAAAGTTTACTATGAAATATGGTAATTAGTATGCAAATACTTTGCAAAATATTATGTGAGATATTATTAACAACCAAAATAACAATTGCAGATGACAAACACTGTAATATACCATAATTAAGATGATTTAATTTAAATATGGAGCCTTTCCTGCCAAGTCCCCATTGCAGTCGTGCCTTCTCTCACACGACAAAGGTCTTATTGATCCTTCCTCTGTTAATTTCTCACAAATAAGCACCACTCTTAAATCTCATCACATCAACCCCAGCCAAGATTACATGGCGGACAGGGGAGCTTTCATTTCTGTGTCCTCCGTTCCTAGCAAGTCCCTGACCTTCGTGCAGGCATCTGTTTGTTCATTTATTCAGAACATACTTATTGAGCTTCATGGCGTTTTTTGAGCCAGGCATGGTGCGGGGCAAGGCAGCCTCGTTTCTTCACTCCAGATTCTCTTCCCAGGCAGGCTCATTCACAGCCTCCTGTATAATATGCCTCATCAACTTTTATTTCCGGTTTAGTCCGTCCTCTGGCTTGAAATCTGTGCATTTCACTGCCTGCTTGACACATTCTCCTGGGTGTTTTCCAGGGTCCTTAACTCAATATGTCTAAGACTGGACTAGTTCTCCTCTGGCCTCCCTCCCCGAGGAAGTCTCCCCACCATCCCTCAGACCCTGCGATCAGAGAGCTCTTTGTCGTTAGCACCTCTCCTAGCTTGAACTCTCAAGTCTACTCTATCATCTAGTCATGTCAACCTTATCTCCTAAATGTTGGTGGCGTCTATCCAGCTCTTTCTCTTTCATTGACATCCGGAACCAAACAATCATTGTCACTCACCCAAATCGCTTTCTAATGGTGTCTCCCACCCATCTCTCATCGCTGACAGAATAATGAGAAACACACAAACACAATCACCTTGCTTTCTCTTTAAAACCTTCCATTGCTTTTAGAATAGAGGCCACGATCTCTAGTGTGGCTTTCAAACTGGGGAGAGCTGGCTCTGCGGACCTCCCCAGCCTCGCCTGAGGTCACTTTTTCTTCCTGCTCTGTCTCCTTGATCCTGGAACACACCCATTTCCTCCCCTCGCAGCGCCTTCCACATCCTGTTGCTCCGTTTGTCTGGATAATGCTGGCTCAGCTCAATGTGGCCTCCCGCGGGCAACCTTGCCCTGTCCCCCCACTGAGCCAGTCCCCCTGTCATCCGTTTCACAGTACTCTGTGCTTTTCCTTGCTGGGACCGACCTCAGCTTGGTATTTATACACTTAGTCGTGTGATTTATTCGATTAATGTTTATGTGTCCTACTAGACAAAAAACTCCATGAAGTCAAGGATTGCATATCTTTTGTTCACAGTTTTGGCAGCTACCAATGTTGGACGCGTACAGTGTTGAATGAATAAACTGACCTATCAGAATTCATCATTCTTCCCTACTGTGGCCTTGACTTACTTGCAATCTTCTGTAATCCAACACAAATCTTCTCTCTTTTTTTTTTTTGATATACCTATTTCGTTTGTCTTCTGAACATGCTTTAAGCATCTTTATCCTTCCATACATTGTCCCTCTTATAAAGAATATTGTTTCTTATCTTCTTTGTCTAAGTTCCAAAGCTTGATCAAGACTCATCATATCCTTCCATCCTCCGTTGTTCACTTAGGAAATTAAAAATTTTCCCCCTTTCTTGGATCTCCTGTATTTATAGCACTTATACTTTATAAGGTGAACTTGGATATTTAAATCTTTAACCCATTTCCTGTTGGCCCCGAGAATACTCTCCAGTGGCACTTGTGGTTGCAGCGTTTTCCCCAAGATAACTCGTGAGTTACCCCCAAAGTTTACCATGAAATATCTTGCTTTTATTATTTTAAAGTGCTCTGGTATAGTGATTGTCTTTGGAAACAAATGACAACATTCTATTTATAGCATTCTGATTTTAGTATTTACAAAATATAGTAATTCTCAATCACTGAAAATGTCAAATCCTAGGAAACATAGCATTCCATGTTAACATCATTCTCAAATAGTTGTGAGCCAAAGATTCATCTGATGAATCTGATTTATGTATACATTTCTGTTACTTTAGGATTAGAGACAAGCTCTGTTTACAAATAACTCTAAGACCAGTTCTTATATTTTGTTTTCACATTGAAAGCCAGTCAGATTTGCTTCAGCCTCAAAGAGCATGTTTATGTAAAATTGAATTAACGCCAGCAGTGAGCTGTACTTTTTTTTTCTAAACGGGAAATAGGTTAAACCTTTTGATAACCAGTAAGCTCTTGTGGTTATGTCACCAACCTCGTCTAGTAAGTGTTTACTCTGCTGGTCTCAGTAGTGGATAAAATAATTATAAAACATGAGCTCTTTTTTCTAATACATATAAAATCTTGCTGGGAAAACCAACATCTGCACCTAATCTGAACCTGCCTTGTGTAGTTTTGAAAGAATACTGTCTGTGAGGATTGGAAGTACTAATACACTTAGAGATTAAAGTGTTTTTTATTCTTTCTAGAAAATTTGCTATAAAGTTTCTAGAAAAACCATTATATAAGTTGCCTTCAGGATGTGGATTCTGAATTCTCTAGCTACATCAATAAGGAAATATATCATTCGTTCGGGTTAGCATATTTCATTTAGATTATACTAACTATTTCCCATAAAAGTATTAAATTATTGTGTATTTTTCTAATTGATTTACATTTTTATTTTTTAAAATGCATTTTATTTTTACTTTTTAAAACATTTTATTGAGGTATGGATGATATACAAAAAGCTGTACATATTTGACATATACAACTTGATGAGTGTACACCTGCGAAACCATTACCATAATCTAGGCCATAATCATATCTATCACCTTCAAAAGTTTCCTCCCACCCTCATTAATCATCGTCGTCGTCGTCGTCGTCGTCGTCATCATCACTTAATCATTGTCGCGTTGTCGTCATCATCATCATCATCATCATCATCATTATTTTGATAAGAGCACAACATAAGATCTACTCTCTCAGCATTTTAAGTATACAAACAGCGTTATTAACTGTTGGCACCATGCTGTGCAGTAGATCTGTAGGATTTACTCATTTTGTATAACTGCAACTTCATACTTTTTGGCTAATACCACCCCATTCCTCACTCCTGCCAGCCCCTGGCAAACACATTTCTCCTCTCTGTTTCAATGAATCTGACTATTTTAGAATCCTCTTATAAGTGGTATCGTGCAGTATTTGTCCTGTGCCGGCTTGTTTCATTTAGCGTGATGTCCTCTAGGTTCATCCATATTGCTGTGTCAGGATTTCCTTTTTTTTTAAAAGGCTGAATAATATTCCATCATATTTTCTTTTTCCGTGCATTCATCAATGGACATTTATGTTGTTTCTATGTCTTGGCTACTCTCAATAACGCTGCAGTGACCATGGGGGTGCAGATATCTCCTTGAGATACTGATGTTATTTCCTTTGGCTGTGTACCTGAAGTGCGATTGTTGGATCAGATGGTAGTTCTATTTTTAATTTTGGGGGAAACCTCCATACTGTTTTCCACAGTGGCTGTACCAATTTACGTTCCCACTAATAGTGCGCATGGTTCCCTTTTCTTCATATCCTCACCAATACTTGTTATTATTATTATTTTTTCGATAATAGTCATCCTAACAAGTTCGAAGTGGTATCTCATTGTGATTTGGACTTGGATTTCCCTCACGATTAGGGATTGTGAGCACCTTTTCATATACCTGTTGGCCATTTGTTTGTCTTCTTTGGAGAAATCTCTGTACAGTTCCTTTGCCCATTTTAATCAGGTTCCTTTTTTGTTGTTGTTGTTGCTATTGAGTTCTAGGAGTTATTTATTTTGGATATTAACCCTTTATCAGATTTACGGTTTGCAAATGTTTTCTTCCATTTCGTATGTTATCGTTCATGTGTTGTTTCTTATGCTGGGCAGAAGGGTTTTAGTTTGATGTCGCCCTGCTTGTCTATTTTTGTTTTTGTTGCCTGTGCTTGTGGTGTCACATCCAAAAACATTATTGCCAAGACCGATGGCACGGAGCTTACCCACTGTTTTCTTCTAGGAGTTTTGTGGTTTCTGGTCTTATATTTAAGTCTTTGATTTGTTTTGAGTTGATTTTTATATAGGGTGTAAGATAAGGGCCCAATTTCATTCTTTTGCATGTGGGTATTCAGTTTTCCGAGCACCATTTTTTATAGAGAATACCCTTTCTGCATTGTGTATTCTTGGCTCCTTTGTTGAAGATCTATTCACCATATATGTGTGGGTTTGTTTCTAGTATTCTGTTCCATTGGTCCATATGTCTGCTTTTAATGCCAGTGCCATACTTGTTTTGATTACTGTGGCTTTGTAACATTTTAAAATCGGGAAGTGTGATGCTTCCAGTTTTGTTCTTGCTCAAAAATTGCTTTGGCTCTTTGGTTTTTTTTTGTGATTCCATATGAATTTTAGGATTGTTTTTCTATTTCTATAAAAAATGCCATTGGAATTTTGATGGAGATTGTATTGAATCTGGAGATTGCTTTGGGTAGCATGGACATTTAAAAAATGAATTCTTCCAACTCATAGACACTTGATGTCTTTCCATATGTTTATTTCTACTTTAATTTCTTTCATTAGCATTTTATAATTTTCAGTGTACAAGTCTTTCACCTCCTTGCTTAGGTTTATTCCTAAGTATTTTATTCTTTTTTGGTGCTCTTGTAAATAGGATTATTTTCTTAATTTCTTTTTTGGGTAGTTTTTGTTATTGTATAGAGTATTTTTCTAATTTAAAGATGCTCAGAAGCTTAATATTATATTTTATAGTGTCTTAATAATTATAGTGCTTGTGAAAGAAGTGAGTTTTTATATATATATGAATTTAAATTGACTGAGTCTCTTGATGAAGCATTTAAAGAAAAATATGCTCTGTTTTTCGTTGTAAACTCCTGTCTTTCCCACCATTTATAATCTCCATTTAGGCCAATTTTTGTTTCTAGCTTTGTATGAAGTTGTTTTGAATTGTTTCTGAATATCTGTGTTATCTTCATCTCTGGTGGTCTTGTATTTCTTAATGACACTGTGATTCCAAAATCACTACTAAATCAATTAACTTCATTTATATTTCTCCGTGGTAGAGATAATTATTAATGTTCTTCTAGATTCCATTTTTAAACTAGTACCCTGTTGTGAAAATAGGCCATTCTCACCTAAAAATAAAGTTTCAAGCAAGATGAATAGCATATATGTGGACATATATTTTTTTCAAAGAAGGCCATTTTAATTATGTAAATCAAATGGCTCACTTTGGAAATTATTACTTGATTTATACTATACAGGATTTTGGTCTTATGAGTTCTGCTTTTGCAACTGCCCACAACTAACAGTGCAGCATAAGAGAAATGAGGTCCCTGCACACAGTCACCCCTCAGAAAGTAGCACCAACTACCGTAGTGCCTATGGTTTCCCAGAAAAAGTATCACATTTTTTATGAAGCTCATTAGTCAATCAATATTTTTGAACTTTGGGCTTCGATTAAAAATGTTTTCTTAGTCCTCTAAAGACCCTAAAATGTTTGTTTCTATTTGAATTTCTAAATCTAAGTGACTTTGGAGTCCATCATCCTTGGATTAGAATTCCAAAACTGCCACCTATAAACACGCTTCTCCGAGCTTGTTATCCTTATCTACACAATGTACATGATACTGTCCATCACTTAGGGATATTGTAAGGATTAACTGATAAGGTTTTGTGATTTAGTATCTGCCAAGCTTAGATATGCTTGTCCTCTGAATGTCTCCATTAAGAATGTGTTTGTAAAGAAAACCAGAGAAGTAGTGGCTTAAACAAGTAAGGTGGTCCCCCCACGCCCACCCCCTCTTTTCTTTTTTCTGCTGCCAAGAGAATGCGGAGATTCTCTGTCCAGGACGATACCATTGGGAATCTTACTTCGTCTTGCTGTCATCTTTAGGGGCTATGGCTCTTATCCTTACAGGCAGAGATGGCTACTGCATCTTAAGGCATCCTTTCTGTTGGAGCCTCATGAAGCGTTGCCTTTTACCTCAGAATGGGATTCTTCCTCAGGAACTTTTATCTGCATATCATTTTCCAGAACTGGGTTTCTCTTAGTTCCAAGAGAATCAGGGGAATCAAAGAGTTTTGGTTAACCAGATTGCTACCCAGAGCAAAACTGGGATTCTTTTTCTAACAAACTTAGGGTGGCTCCTGGATAGGCAACTAACGTGCCTTCCTCACTTTGTAAGTTCTGTTCTTTTAATCCAAATGAAGTGGAAATCGGAGGATGCCAACGATCAGAGACCGAGCCCGTGTCCTCCCCTCTGTCTCACACATACCTTACCTTATTTGCCATCAAGTGACATGAACATACAATACCAGGGTGTAACCCACCCCAACCTCAGACATCAGGCTGCAGGTAGGTCCCCAAGCTGGCATTGCTGCCTTGGAGATTGCATGTTGAACATGATGGAAGGGTTTTTCCATGGCTTCTTAGAGTCTGAGTCTCAGTAGGCTTGGGTCTCTCTAAGAGAAAGCGACTTGATCCTTTGTATAACCTTTCCTAAATCAGAGATTATGGGTCTATGGAAAAATATACTTTGAATCCATCCATTTTTATGCTTTTCGGCTTTTTGGAGAGACAAAAAGACAACTTGCTAGGTAAAGAAAAAAAGTCACCATTATCGATACTCTGTTCACATAAGAAGGAAAATGATTATTACATGGTACATACCAGGAAGTTTTCAGAAAGTGGGGACGTCCCTGAAGATATCCCATAATGCCAAGTAAAGTGCTTAGTATCGTGTCTGGCACATTTGTTAATATTGCAGCTGTTGTGGTTAATATCTACAGAAAATTAGTCATAGGTCATAGTTGTTCCTGTGTGTCCAGCACCCAGACTTAAACTTCCCAGAGTTTAAACTGTTTCTGTAGAGGCCGCGTGGCTCACATGAGGAAGTATGACTTCTGAGTGTCATACTTTATTGCCTTTTAGTGCATGTGGTATACTCTATTTGTAGCCAAGCTGATAAATGGTCTCTATTATTTACATAAGAATAAATATGGCCCCACAATTACCATACTGAGAACTTAATTTAGTGATCAGTTATGGATGGTGAAAAGATACCACTTTTTATTTCTTTGCCAACTATCACCTGATAGGTTTGTTCACTCAATATCTTCTCTCTCTCTCCCTTTTTATTGGCCATTTTTCTATTTGCAGCTCTTATGTGCATTATTCAATATTTTTAAGTACTTTTAAGTAAATTCATAGACCATTTTGTCTAAGATTCATAAAAATGGTTGTGATAATTTGTAACTGCCTCATGCAAACCTTTTTTAATAAATTCCTTGGGGTTGAGCGCAAGTATCATACTATCTTTTCGTTCCATGGCACCAGCCATGATGGATGTATAGCAGACACCTGACATGTAAGTGGTGATTGATTATCTGTGACTTGGTGGCCTGTCCTTGTCATAGGAAACGCTGTCTCAGAATTGGTCCCCTATTTGGCACGGTTGGGAAAATACAAGTCTCCAACAGGAGATTTTTACCCCAACATTTTTAAAGGACACTAAATTAGAATTGACTGCAAATGACCAGCTATTACATTTAAGAACAAGATGGCCCAGACATAAAAATATTTAGTGACGAACATTTCACATGCCAAATGTAGTCAGAGCCTGGGGGAATTCAGTGTATGACAGATTCTGAGTAAAAAAATAAATGAGATCGCTAAATATGAGTACCAGGTGGACATTGATTTCCGAGTTATTTGTACCACTTTTGTCCTTATGTAAAACCATAAAACAGGCTGGCTGCTGATCAGAACCTGCAGCTGTGTAGAAGAGACTTCTTTGCACAAGTACTAGAAAACAAAGAATGATGATAGGCTTGAAGTCTGTTATAGTTTAGCACATAAAAGGGAAAATAAAATTGTTGATGTCCTAGGCCTGGAACCAAAAATGCGGACATATATCTACCTAGCTGGGACTATAAAAATGGTATGCAGTCCTAAGAAATGTCTGAGTCTTTTAAAAATAGCCAATTAACTTTTACAGTGGCGGTTCACATATTTCACACACTGTCATCTTTATTTTTCCTAGTGTCTGAACACTTCCTTTCTTCCTATGATATTGACTGTAGCTTGGGAACCAAGAAGGAGGTGGTCCAGTGCATGGGCTCCTTCCAGGATGGGGTGGCTGAGAAGTGTGTCGATTATTTCCAGAGATTCCGACGTTCTACTCACGTGACCCCCAAGTCCTACCTCTCCTTCATTCAGGGCTATAAGTTCATATACGGAGAGAAGCACATGGAAGTGCAAACTCTGGCCAACAGGTAAGTGTGAAGGTCAAATATAAAGCTATTTTTAAAGCAGTGGCTCTCAATTGGGGGCAGATTTCCTCCTAGTGAATGTATTTGTTTATTACAACTCGGGTGGCAGAGTGGGGGGTGGGATGAAGGGTGCTACGGGCTTCAAGTGAGTAGAGGTCAGGGATGTTGCTGAACATCCCACAGGGCATGGGACAGCTCCCCACTTCAGGGAACTCCCCAGCCCCAAACCCCAGTAGTGCTGAGCTTGAGAAACCCTCATAAGCATGAGAGAGTCTGACGCTTGTGTTCACTGCTTCGTGAATACCCTACTTCTGCTGCAGTTGCTCCACATCTCACTCTCTGCCTTGGTCTTTTCTGAACACTTCCATCTTCTGCCTGAATATGGCCGGAATCAGCCAGGGTTGAACAGAAGAGACACCTGGGTGGGTGTTCAGACTAAGTGACTCTGAGGACTTTAGTCTTTAAGACACGTTATTTCAGGTTCAGGCAGGCAGCGAGTCCCTTCACGCTGGTGTTCTGATGGCTTCGCATTTGTTTCTTTTCTTAAATCCCAAATCTTTCTTCTTTTAACCTCATTAGTCTCTATTGAAAACCAGAAGTTATTGGTTTTGCTTCCTCCATGATGGGGCTTCAAGCATTTTGAGTCTGTTGTCATTTAGCTATACTTCATTAGGCACGTTTCCCATGTGATGCAGACTCTGGACCCACCATCGTTCCCCATGTCGCACAGAATATTTTTGGCAGCTTCTCTCTTCCCACACGCTGTCTAGGAAGCCGTACAAATGCCTCCAGTCTGGAATCAAGCCTGGACCTACATCCTTTTTTTTTTTCAAGCCCTGTTGTATTGGCTGCTTGTTCATACACTTATTCTTCAAATCTGGTCACTGCTATTTATATTAATAGACAGCATTTGGAAAATGTGGCCAAGAGCCACAGATGTTGACACTGCTCCCTTGGATTTTCAATCCCAGAATGAACACTGGATTGAAAAAGCTGAAAGAAGCTTCAGAGTCTGTTGCAGCCCTGAGCAAAGAATTGGAAGCAAAAGAAAAGGAGCTACAGGTGGCAAATGACAAAGCCGACACGGTGGGTGGACATTTACAGGGTGTCACATTCTTTCTCAATTCCCGGTTTGTAAGTGTTAATGACATTTGCATAGTCACTGAGTTATAGCCAAGAGAGTATCAATTACTTATTTCCATTAGAATACGATAGTCTTAATTTTCCGTATGACAGTTTGTATAAGTGGACAGAAGTCAAGAAATTAAAGCAAAATGTGCCTTTTCAGCTGGGTCTTCGGGAAGTTTTGATGAGATATTTTTTTTTATTTTTTATTTTTTATTGAATTAGGTCTTAAAGGAAGTGACGATGAAGGCACAGGCTGCCGAGAAGGTCAAGGCTGAGGTACAGAAGGTGAAGGACAAAGCGCAAGCCATCGTAGACAGCATCTCTAAAGATAAAGCCATTGCAGAAGAGAAACTGGAAGCAGCCAAACCAGCTCTGGAAGAAGCAGAGGCAGCCCTGCAGGTAAATCTGCACGACATGACAGATGCCAGGTGTTGGGGTGGGAGGAGGACTAAGAAAAGATGGGTGACAGCAGGAAATGCTCTACTGCTTCAGACCAGAGCGCTCTCCATGAGAACAACTTCAAGCAATGGTTCTGCATGGAGGCGTTATCAGCTCTTATAGATTTTGCATGTGCTGCTTCCCACCTCGTTTCCTCACTCACGATTGATGGGCAGTGTCATGTAATGGCGGCCAGGAGTCCTGGATTCCCATTTCCGCTCTGTTAACCAATCAGCTGTGCGACATTGGGGAAGTCACATAAAATTCTTAAACTCACGTTTCCTCACATCCCTTGAGGACTTTGGAGTGGGTCCGTGGGATGCACTGTTCTCTGAGTTGATCTGTGAATTCCTGATCTGAGGTATCTCGTTCACGTCAGAGTTTGGGCAGGCTTCCAACACAAACATTCACTGCGATTGTGTGGCAGTGACAGAAATGGCAAAATTAGAAAGGAGGCTGGATTCTGAGGAAATACGACGAGTTTTGCGAACTAGGCCACAGCTGAAAGGGCTGGCCCAGTTCTGAAGTCTCAGTTTAAGGTGTTTGGGGGCTCCGTGTAAGATCGCTTTTACTGCAGCCGTGCTCATCTGCTGCCTCGTGTCGTTTGCTACCTGGCCTGAGAAGCAGCTGGATAAACGGAGCACTGCTGATCCGGGGACCGCTAATTCGAGTTAGTAACCTCAGTCGAGCAGGCATCATTACTTGATAATGTAATTGTGATTGTTTCACCATTGTCTTACTTTGGGGATAAGCATACACCTGTGAAACCATCACCACCGTCAAGGCCATGGAAATATCTCTCACCTCCCAAAGTCTCCCCCTGCTTCCTTTAGTGTTATTGTTACTTGTCGTAAGAGCACTTAACGTGAGATCTACCCTCTTACCAATTTTAAGTATATAATATGGTGTCGTCACTTACAGGCTCTATGCCGTGTAGTAGATCCCCAGAACTTACTTATCTTGTGTGACTGAAACTCTGTCTCCTTCAACCGTCACCTCCTCACCCCTCTGCCACCCCTTGTCACTGGCAATCACCATGCTCCTCGCTGCTTCTGTGAGTGTCTATTTTAGATTCCACATATAAACACGATCATCCAGTATTTGTCTTTCTGTGTTTGGCTTATTTCACTTAGCATGATGTCCTCCAGGTCCATTCATGTTGTCATAGATGGCAAGATTTCTTTCTTTTTTTTAAGGCTTAAATGTGTGTGTGTATGTGTGTGTGTGTGTGTGTGTGTGTGTGTATAACATTTTTTAAATTCATTCATTCATCGATGGACATTCAGGTTGCTTCTATATCTTGGCTATAGTGAGTAATGCTGCAGTGAACATGGGGGTGCAGATATCTCTTCAAGATCTGATCCTCACCCTGCACCCCCATTTAGGCATGCTGGCTTCACTGAGAGTGCTTGATCAACAGAGAGAAGACAATGATAGTGCAGAGAAACTTCTAACCTCTTTTTTTGAACTTGTGATACCTAGTGGCGTCATAGGAATAGAGCATATGGCATCTCAGGTCTTGCTTAAAGACCCACATATTCCCAAGACTTAAAAGGCCTAGCATCTCTTTTAATATTATATTTTCCAGTATCTTTCTAATTCAGTGCTCTCTGCCACAAAAATATTCTGTATTACGTAGTCATCAGTGCAGAGATGTGTGGAACAGGGTAAGGGGATGGGGTGTGTGTGAGAGGTTTCAAATAATTCCTTTCATTGGTTCTGCCTCCATCTTATTGTCTCTTGGAGGCCTTTTGAAATTTTGAAATATGGCACCACCAGGGTATACTAAGAAAGTTTCAAGTACCTCCAGATTCTAATGTTTTCGTATCAGGTTGCATAAATCGATACAACAAATAAAGTAACAGCAAAGACTGTCTCTATCTCAATGCTAATCTGACTTGATACAAACGTATAAAATGCCTCCAGATGTTAAAGAACTATTTATTATATTGCAATGATGTACTGGAAATTATATAAGTCATATGGCTCTGCTTGTCAAAAAATGATGATTTCAATACTTAGATGACATAGATTAAACTTCAGATATGCCTCTCCCCCCAACTCCTTTTACCTGGGCACCTAACGTAACCGAGCCCAGTCTTGTTTGAAAATTTCCCTTTCTAAAACTAAAGTGAAATAAGCATGTTCGGCTCTCATATCTTACATAACTTTAATTTGGCTCTACTTTCCTCATTGGCCACTATTCTCTCTTTTCCTTTATAGCCATACATCTCAAATTAGGGTCTATCTGGTATTTCTATTTTTTAAAAAAATACAAATTCTTCTTCGCTTCCAGCTGTCTAGCTTTCACAAATACTGTTCTATTGAAACAAGCCTTTTCACAGTCTCTAGTTATATTCCTAATTATCAAGTCTAGTGGTTTTCTTCTTTTTCTCAATCTTCGGAGAAAAGATTATTAGCTGGGATGAGAAGCTCCTTGGGTATGTTCTTTTGGCAGGAGGGGTACGAATGCAAATAAAATGGAAAGTTTTCAAGATCTGGAAGGAATGAGTATACACTATTTATCCTAGAAATGGGACTGCATCAGATTCTTATATTTAATATTTTCCCAATACTTATTCCATAAATAGTCATAGCAGCTCTTTGTAACTATTGAATAATTTACGCTATGAAGAATCTCTGTAACTAGAAATGGAACAGAATTTTTCTAAGAACTTAGAGAAACTCTTATTGCTCAGATTCTGTCATTTAAAGGTCAGTTCCGAGCTAAGAAACCTCTAATTATTCAGTCTGTCAGCCCCTGGGCTGCCTGCTAGTGTCAGTCCACGGGGACAAGTTGCTTAAGAGAGAGAGGCAGATTCTTGCCCTACATAACTAATGAGTCAGAAAGCACTGCCAATGCGGAGTTTTCCTGGTCTCGGCATAAGTGCTGACTATTCTTTTTCTTTCAAGTTACACACTCTTTTTTTCTGACACTATGGGATCTGTATGGTTTTAGAGAAGTCACAGCTCCTCATCGACTCACCAACATTTCGATCTTCATTGTCAATTTGAATTGTAAACATTGAAACTTTTTGGGACATGAGTTTCTTTGGGATTAAATATGCGTCTAGCCCCCAAGACTGTATCTAACTTAAACACGCTCGTTTTCTTCTGTCGAAACAGTAACATTTAGCGATGACAGTTCCATGTGCGCTTTCTCACATGAGATTAGATGACAGCTTCCCTTCCTCCCGCAGACCATCAAGCCTTCAGACATTGCGACTGTCCGCACGCTGGGCCGGCCCCCTCACCTCATCATGCGGATCATGGACTGTGTGCTGCTGCTGTTCCAAAGGAAAGTCAACGCAGTGAAAACCGACCCGGAGAAGAGCTGTCCGGTTCCTTCCTGGCAGGAATCCTTAAAGCTGATGACTGCAGGGAACTTCTTACAGAACTTACAGGTGGGTGGCCCGGCAGTGATGGGCTAAGAGTGGACCAGACTGCATTGGCATATCTGAGTCCTTTAATGGAATAAGTTTCTAAAAAGAATTTATTCAACATACATATTTTTGCTTACTATTTTTCGTCTTTATTAGGGTATAATGGACAAATAAAGGTTGTATATATTTAAGGTGTACAACTTGGTGTTTTGGTATAGGTGTACATTGTGAAATAATATCCATAATCAAGCTAATGAACATATTTATCTCCTTACATAGTTACCGATTTCTTTTATTCTTTTTTTGTGATGAGGACACTTAAGATCTACCCTCTCAGTAAACTTCAGGTATTCAATTCAGTATTGTTAACTCCGTTCACATCGCTGTATGTGAGGTGCCCAGAACTTACTCGTTACATATTACTAATGCCTCGTACCCCTTGACTAGCATCTTCCCACTTATTCGCCCCCAGCCTCTGGCAACCACCATTCTGCTCTCTGCATCCATGAGTCTGACTGCTGTAGATTCTCCATATGAGCGAGACCACACAGTGTTGGCCTTTCTGCTTATTTCACATAGCATATTGTCTTCCAGGTCCATGTTGTCACGATGTTAGGATTTCATTCTATTTCAGGCTGAATAATATTCTGCCTATGTGTTTTGTACTATATTTTCAGAGTAGACTTTTTCTGTTTCAGATATAAGACATGATAAGCATTATAGTTTTTCCCGACAAATTTTAGTTTTCCCTCCCCAGCTTTATTGACATACGATAGACAATTAGTTGCTCATATTTACATTGTACAATTCAATGAGTTTTTATTTTTCAATTATATTCGGCGTACCATAATATATTAGTTTCAGTTGTACAGCGTAATGGTTAGAGATCTATATAACTCATGTAGTGGTCACTGGCATGAATGATGTATTTCAATCAAAGTTTAAAAATTCTTTGTAAGGAGACGGTACATAGGTGCATATGTTATATACATGTGAATAGAAATATATCTATTTCAAGTCTCAACAGTAATTTTTGAGTATTAATTTATATCATTTTAATTTTATTATGAGATAGAATTTACATATAATAACATGCACATATTTAAAGTATACAGCTTGATAAATATTTACATATGTAGATACCCATTAATGAGCACTGAAATCAAGGTTTTTTATTTGCAGACCCCAGAAATTTGCGTGCCAACCCAGTTAATAGCTTCTCCTAAGATAATTATTATTCTGACCTTTATACTAATAGTTTTGCCTGTTTTGAAATTTACATATATGAAATCATATGAACACTTTTGTTTTGACCTCTTTAACACATCTGTGATATTCATTCTTATTATTGCACAGAATAGTATTTCATTCCGGGGAGAAAAAAGAACCAAAAAGCTCTGATTTATAATGTTTGTCAATTTCCATAGTGTAAATATCCCATAGTGGCCAATTTCAAGCTATAAAAATGATGCTGAATGTAGACTTGGGAAGAGATGCGTAATAGCACACCATTATATAGTATATCTACCATATAGGTGCAGTAAATAGATATAAATGACCTCAAAAAACATAGATAGTAAAATGTAGTAAAAGAATTATACTATATATTATTTGACTATATATTATTTTTGTTTCAAATAAAATTTAATTGTAAGTTATATAATTTAATATTAATAATGGTTATCTTTTACAACCAGTTTGCAGAATTTCTGAAAATTTAGCAATTGTTTCTCATGAGCTTGTGTAAACCAGCCTCATCACGAACACTAATATGCTTCAATTTGTTTGTCCCTTGTACTGTTGATGAATTATTGAATTGCTACTAGTTTTTGGTTATTATAAATAGAGCTCTTACGGGTATTGGTCTGCAGGTCATTTGGTCAGCATATTTGCGTTTCTGTTGGCTGTATATTCAAGAGTGGAATTTCTGGGTCTTAGTTTATACATTTAATCAAACTGTAGTAGGTAGTGCTAAAGAGTTTCAAAAATATCTGCATCATTTTATGCACCCACCAATAGTGTATGAGTTGCTCCACATCTTCACCATTTTCTGCATTTAGCTATTCTGATGGGTTTGCAGTAGTATCTTATTATTGTGGTTTTAATTTGCATTTCCCTGATGACTAATGATGCCCTAAATTTTTTATTGGTTTATAAGCCCCTTGGGAATTCTTGTTAAATGCCCGTTTAGGTCTCTCATCCATTTTAATTTTGTATTACTTTACAGAATTTCTTTATATATAAAATATGAGTAATTTATCATTTGTGTTTTGCAGACATCTTCTCCCAATTTCTACCTTAGTTGTTCATCCCGTTAATGGTGTCTTTTGATAAGCAGGTGTTCTTAAGTTTAATGTAGTCCAGTTTTTCAGTGTTTCCCTTAAGAATGCTTCCCGTGCTCTGATGAGGAAATCTTTTCCCACCACGGAGGCAGAATAAATGCTTCTGTGTTTTCTTCTAGAATTTATATTATGTTATCTTTCATATTTAGATCTTGAGACAACTAATCGGGAATACCCAACCCACATCCGTTTCCCAAGCAATAACTTTAATGCTATCTTTCATTCATTTTTCAATTCAGCATCGCCCAGTGGGTGCTGTAGCTAGACCCTATTACAGAAGCTATAACAATAAGTAGCTTATACAACTAGTGTCCACACAGATTTGTCCCAGAAAATTAAAATATGAGACTCTATGAAGTAAGTGCCACTGTGAAGGAATAACATGCTATTTGAGTGGAGAAGAGGTGGCGATTAACTTTGGGTGAGTTAGGGTGGCAGTGGTGACAGAGGAGACTCAAAAAGTTAGAAAAATGCGACAATGATTTGGACTTCGAATAGAATCCTGGCAAGTGACTCTGGGCTCCTGCATTATCTATCTGGTGGCAGAGCAGATATAGATCTTAGAAGCTCCTTTGCTATTTGCTCTTCACTTGCTCCCAAATATTCTGATTTTTCTTTTGGCTTCACTTTTTTCCACGTCTTCTTAAAGAAATTTGCATTAAAAGGTCTGAATGAGATTGTGTTCTACCCTACATTATGTGTCTTCTGTGAAGATGTCACTGAATTATTTAGGTGCTAAATTTTTTTTCTATTTGGAAGACATTTAATCATCCTCTTTTATGTGCTCAAACACCACTTAAAAAAGATCCAATTTTATTTGTTTGGCCAGTATTTTCTTTTGATTCAAGATAGACATTTTAAAAAATTCCTTTCTGTTACTATTTAAAAACAATCGTATCGCTCCCGAAGATAACAATTTTCTCATATTCTTAATGGTTCTATAATTAAAAATTAATTCATCACCCTCAAGGCCTAATGTTCAAGTTATTATCTTCACATTTCAGAAAAGTTTAATAGAACTTCTGTCTGAATGTATTAAGGTTTTAGTTTCTGCTAAATGTTAAATATATATGTCCTCAGGCTGACTATACCCGTGTGTATTTGTTTTTCATTGTTGATTTTATGGGTTTATAATTCACCTACTTAGGATTAATGACATAAAAATTTTATTGCTTTGGAAATTCTAATAACCGTGCGAGTGTTCATTGCTGCAAAAATTTCCTTTTTCCTTGGATCCCAGAAAGTTTATTTAAGGTTGGCATCTCTTGTCCACTGAAGTTAAACTGTACTCTGACTTCTTTGTCGTCATTGCTTACTCTGTTTTCACCTATAGTACTTTTGCCTAATATACTGAAATAGTGACAAAATATCAAGTCATTCACCCAGTTCGGTTGTTCAACAGTTTCAATGGCATTGGGAGCATAATGCAAGTGTGACTTCACGGAAAGAAGAATTTTGACTTAATTTTACTCTTTTTCCATAGCAATTCCCAAAAGACACGATCAATGAAGAAGTGATAGAATTTTTGAATCCTTACTTTGAGATGGCAGACTACAACATCGAAACTGCTAAGCGTGTGTGCGGGAACGTCGCCGGTCTTTGTTCCTGGACCAAAGCCATGGCTTCCTTCTTCTCTATAAACAGAGAGGTGTTGCCTCTGAAGGTAAGCCTCCCAGGTAGAGCCACGTGACACGTGTACCTGCTGGAGGTCTCCAGGTCAACTGGTCTTGTCTTTTCACACGACACAGCCTTTGGTGTTATTGTACTCGAGTCCCCGGAGACAGCAATGGCTAGGAAGACGAAACCCGAGATGTCTCTTTCTTCTCTGTAATCCTGCTCCATAAGAATGATGTGAGCCTGTAAGCGTGGACTCTCTACAAGGATACTAAGTCCAGTGCGGGCTGCTGGATATTTTTCCTACACAATGACAACTTGAAAAAAAGAAACACAGAAAACTATCACGCAGAACCCCCTGATAATGTCCAAGATCTCATACCAGGGAAATCTACGAATTAGGAAGGGCTGACACACAGATGCCATGACATAGTATTTCCTCTCCTCTTTGTCCCTCAGGAAAGAAACCGAATATCATCTCTTTGTTGTTTAATGCGATTTGAGAATATGCCTCTTTCCTTTTGAGTAATTGCATTTCTAAGCTTCATTTGTACCCACTCCCCCACCGTTCAATGGCACTCAGTCTTCAGCAGAGGGAGAGACAAGCATATGTTTTGAAAATGGGATACCAATGTCTCAAAACTCATACCTTAAGAGTTGGTTGGTTATTTCGCTTTTGTATGAGTCTGATCTCTTTCAACCATCAACTAAAATTTACTTAGACTTATAAACCACCCAAGGAGTATAGTAATCATGATAAAAATAATCAAAAGTAGAAAGAAGATAGGGATAGAGTTGCAAGTTCCCTTTTATTTTCTAATTATTACCAGACCAAGACCATTTACTCAATGGTGAAGGTACTGGGGTCCTCGGGCAACCTTAAAAGAAGAGACTCATTTGGCTCAGAGACTTTTAGAGCAAATAATTGATGTCATGCTGACATTAGGACCTGGGACCATTGAAGACCCCAGTATAGCTCAAAAATGAACATTCTGATAGTAACTGAACTGTGACCACCATATCAAATGTACAGGGCTTCCTTCACAAATTTTCCAGTGGGTAAGGATACATATTGTCTTTAAAGGAATTACGGTTGAATTCACGATGGATAGTTTTTATTTTGTTTAAATGAAATGAGCTAAAGTCTACAAAATAGTGGACATTCTGAAGACAGCTTACATAAGAACAAAGAGGTCTTCCCTATGTTCAGGACATTTCAGCAGCACCCAAACCCAGGACAATCTAGACCCTACTGTAGGAAGCGAAGAGAATTTCATCAGAAAGGGGGAACTTCTACTTGCTCCAGAGAAGTCTGTTCTGGGAGCGCCCTCCTACATTCTTAGGAGCATCCAGCATCGGCGTGCATTCATTTTGTCAGGTCGCTTCTAATGGCAGTCGGAAAAATACACGCGGTCGCATGGATCCCATGTAATCACCGTGCAGGGAGAAGTAGAAGACAAAGTACAAGTTATCATTGGGCACCTCTGCTCGATATCTCAGGAAATACAGACCGAGGCCTCTAACGTCACTCACTCCTGGAGGGGCTTCACACACCAGCTCCTGCTTCCTAAGTGAGGCGAGATTAAGGATACTGATTAAACTCCAATTGGAACCTCTTCAATGCTAATTAGTAATGAAGACACATAGGGGCACTTTACTTTCATCCCACAGTTGTGCTCCAAGTGTCTTCTGGTAGTGAATAAACTTAAACATTAATTACAACTATAGCCATTTGGGTTCTATTCAAGTTTATTTTAATGAGATCTCTCCTTGAATACTCTATGAAAACCAGTAAATACCAGTCTGTATAAACAGAATATTACAACGGTAAAGCCTTAAATATTGCACGCCGATAGTAACAATAACAATATCTACTATTTACTGAACTCTTGTTATACGCCAGGTTCCAGACTTGGGTTTTTACATATGTTATTTAATCTACACACACACACACACACACACACACACACACACACACACACACAACCTAGGAAGTATTTTGAACATCTCAGTGGAGAAACTGAGGCTCACAGAGTTTAAGTAACTTGAACAAAGTACTGCAGCTCCTAAGGTGAGCAGGTGGATCTGAATGATTCTATACCTTTTGGTTAGCGACTTTTGAAAGCTTCATTTAAAAAAATTTTTGAGCAAAGTCTTTGAAATATTCAAAATCTTTGGGTCTGTGATAGTTTGACATTAGTGGGTGACTTTGGTGAGCTGACACAGGGACTTTGCTTTTCTTCCATGTTGAAGCCATGGAAACAGATGCAGCTTAGAGAAGAGCTGAGAAAAAAATGTTCCAAGAGGTAGTTTCTTTTTAAAGTATAATTTTAAAGCCATATTTTTGCCTGCCGTTGGTTCTAATCAGTTATGGAACTCTTAACTTTTGCTTGAAGAATAATTCTGCCAAAATTTCAGAGCCTGAAGTTTTCAGAGAGAAAAATCATTAGACGAATATTTTTAAGATAATAATTTCTTCTCAAACACCTCAGAAAGAATGTGGGTTTAGTAGTGGATCTCCCCATTAATGTCAATTTTAACATTATAAGACTTAAAAAAGACATTCGATTTCAAAAAAATTTTCAAAACAATCTAAATTCCTGTAAAAAAATCTAAAATTTTCAAAAAAATCTAAATTTTCAGAACAATCAAAAAAATTTCAAAACAATCAAAAAACAATCTAAAAGCATGGACTATTTTCTATACCTCATCTACTGATGTGGCTTTTGATTATGTGTATGGAGTCTAATTTGTTAGCTTTCTTAAAACAAATATTTTTAATTGGTCACAGCTCAAGGTAGCAGTTCTTTCCTGGAAGGCAAGCAATATATGAAAGTTACAGGAGTGACATCAAGATGACCACTACCCACAAAACCTAGATCTTTATATTCAGCAAACAGTTATTCTTTGCCTCATTTTGACATTTTCATCAACAGCGATCAGTCCTTCTAGGCTGATGGTTTTAAATACAAAGACTTATTTTTCTCCCTAGAACTCTCACTATTATAATGTTCTGTAATTTACCTATTACAATATTTAATATTGCAATATTTAATATTGTAATATTAATATTTAATATTGTAAGATCATAATATTTAATAGTACAATATTTGGATCTCGAGATTAGCAAACTGTAGCCCAAGGCCAGATCTAACCCGCTACCCATATTTGTATAGCCCATGAAATAAGAAGAGCTTTTATGTTTTTAAATAAGTACCTAAACAATAGTCTTGATTTTGCCTCTTGGGCCCAAAAGCCTAAAATATTTACTATCAGGCACTTTATGGGAAAAAGTTGCTGACTTCTAATGATTCTGATTTTCTTCCCATAAACACTTATGTCATGTTCTCATGAAGATTTGGTCTTGACCTTAAGGATGGAACAAAGAAAAGGTATAGCCATGAGACACTGCCCGGTTTTCTCAGACTCTGTAATGCTGACTGTTTGGTTTGCCCACCTCGTCACCTCATGTGTGTCCTGTACAGGCCAACTTGGTGGTGCAGGAGAATCGCCACGTCTTGGCCATGCAGGACCTGCAGAAGGCCCAGGCAGAGCTGGATGACAAGGAAGCAGAACTTGATAAGGTTCAAGCCGAGTACGAACAGGCCATGACTGAAAAGCAGGTAATTGTTGTCTGGCTTGAAAGGGGCTGTCACATACCTACACGCGCGGCTATGCGACACCCTTCATTCCCTTTCTACTTTCTCACTCCAAGGGTTTGGTTTTCAGCAGGGATTCATTTAATTTATAAATAACGCATACACAGCACAGAATCCCTCACTAAACCCTAGAGTTTGTTTCAAACAGACACCAAGGACCTTTGGTGAGACGTCAGGATTTTTAGCCAAGACAGGAGTCAGTTCTGGAACATGAACGTTCTGAATTTCCTTATTAACAGCATCTTTTGTACCATTTTTTTTTTTTTCAGTTTTTCAAATCATGTCCTTCCACTTATTTAATCTTTGAAAGAGCCTTTCAAGGTAGTCAGGATAGATGTTTTTATTTTATTCTCATTTTAGAGAAAGGCACTGAGCCCAGTGAGGACAAGAGAATGGCTCCCAGCCATAGGCCTGGGTCAGAGGGCTGGACTAGACCTTGGTCTTCTGATGTCTACTCTGGCTTCTCTGCTGGACCGATGTGACCGACCACAGGGCTATATCTGATGACGATGACCATCCACAGCCTTCTCAATCTATATATATTTTGCAGCTTTAGCAACTTTCAGAATCTAGATTTATGCTTTTTGTATACATTGGGCCATAAGCTCTTTATTTTATTTATACTAATTCTGGCTCCATTTGGGCCTCCTTCCTTCTGGTCATCAAGGCAGATTTAGCATAGACCTAATGTAGCTTAAGTATCATGAGTCCTCACTTGTGCAGGCCCCTGTGAATGCTGGGAGTGTTGCATGGAGTGTTCTATGCAGAATGATTGGCAAGTCTCGGTGTGGAAGCATTCAGAGGGAACCCCTAGTGCTCCCCGAAGAAAGGCATCTGGGTTTCTAAGTCACCAGGACTTGGGAGCGATTTTTCTCCCCATCATTTCAGCTCTATGTCCCATTTGGCACTTTTGTATCTATGAGAAGACTTTAATGATTTTCTTAAAGTTGTCTCTAGATTATGTAAGCTTCTGGCCCCACAAAATCTGTTTTTGCCCCTGATGAATCCTATATTTGGTAAATAAGAGCTAGATTCACTCTCTTCTTTCCTTGATGATTTTATCGAATTTACCCTTGACCCTCCTCGGCCTTGTCTTGGCTGGATTGAGATTCCTGCTCTCTTAGTCTATTCCCTGATAATAATTTGGGTGAACATTTCAGTTTCACTATGTGCAGAATGTATGATATTTTGTCTTAAGTCCCCTGAAAGCAAAATAGGAGCATTTTAGAAGTTTTAAGGAGTTAATTATATAGTACCTATTTGGGTTTGTTACTTATGCCCTATAGAATTCACTTACAAAGAGAAAATTAACATCGCAGTTTGAAAAAGTACTTTAGAAACCGTGAGGAAGACACGTTAATTTTTGCCCCTTGGACACACATATCCAGGAGCGGGACTGAATACAATAAAATATTTTACAGCCTCATGTTTATTATGTTTCACTTTTAGCATTCTTGCCTTCATTCATTCAATAAGCTTTTTTGTTTTTGAGCTCCTGCTATTTGTTAGGTAAATAGTCATATAGGACCTCACAAGAACTGCTACTCTAAAGGTATGGCTCCAACTTAAAACTTAAGTTTCAACAAATGTCAAGTTTTTTTTTTTTTTAAGTTAAAAAACTTAATTCTGGCTGTAAGCTTGTCGGCCATTACCATGCTGGAGTAAACTTGATCTTTAGTCATTTCGTTGTTCCTTGTCCCTCCATTGGGCTCTGTGCAAATTCTGGGGGTGTATGGACTCCCAGAAAACAGGGCAAGGGCCTTGAGTCTACAGCTCATGGTCACAGCCCGTAACCTCATGACCCCGTGTGGTCCCTGTAGGAGCGTGTGTCCTGCTTCTCTCTGGCCATTACCGTGCTGGAGTGAACTTGATCTCTAGTCATTTCGTTGTTCCTTGTCCCTCCATCGGGCTCTGTGCAAATTCTGGGGGTGTATGGACTCCCAGAAAACAGGGCAAGGGCCTTGAGTCTACAGCTCATGGTCACAGCCCGTAACCTCATGACCCCGTGTGGTCCCTGTAGGAGCGTGTGTCCTGCTTCTCTCTGCACAGGACAATACCTTCGTGTGGGGCCCGCTCCCCTAGGCCCTCTGGCCAGCTAGTTGCACGCAGGGGGCACTGTGTGAGAGAGGGCTGGGGGTACTGCTTATGGGACCTGGAAAATTCTGCACACCCTCAGCCAGGCTGGGAGGGGAAACCCACTCCTCCCCTCCACACTCTCAGATGTTTGCTTCTCTTCCTCCCCCATCCCACCCGCCTCTCTCCCTCTCTCATCCGGTTCTGCCAGAAAACAAAAGCCAGGAGAGGAGGGGCTGGGGCATTTTCTTATTTGGCCACTTGGGAGTGGGCATGGGGAATTTCGGGAAGACAACTCAATCTTAAAAATATCTTTTACACGAAATGCTGTGTCCAAAGGTGGCAGAAATAAATGATGTCACTGGCATCTTTCTTCTTGGAGAGAAGCAAACAAATGTAGGTCTTGTAGCTGTGGGGGTGAAGATCTCAGCTGTGCTTTTTAGGTTTTCTGCATTAACTCTGTGGGAAGGAAAATGGAGTAGACTGGGAGGAACTGTAATAAATATCTTGCTTTTGAAATGCACTATATTTCCTTATTACGACAAAGGCAATTCACATTTCTTATAGAAAACACACATAGGTAACCCTGGAGATGTTTTTTTCTCTTTATCATTTCATAGCTGATCATGTACCTCGATTTACATACATTTTTAAATCCATTTAAAACTATAACAGAAAATTCAATACATACTGCTTTATAAATTGAAATTTTAACAATGATCTATCATGATTTTTTTCTTGATCGTAAACATTTTTATAAGATAATTTTTAATGCCTTCAGAGTATTCTTATTTATGATATACCATAATCTATTTAAATAATCCGATATTGTTAGACGTTTAGTGTATCTATGCTAAAAGTAGATGTATAAATTTATGTAAATATTATACCTGAATTGTCAGTGACTAGTCACATAGCTAAATCTTTATCCATATCCATTATTATTTCACTAGAATAAATTTTTTACAAGTAGGATTAGCAGTTGTTTCTTAAAATAGAGAAATAGAATCATTTTTTTTTTTTTTTTAACAACTAAGCCTGAGTGGCAGTAGTATGTGGAAGTGTTGGTTAAAGGTCTTTAGTTGACACAGCAGCAGTAGGGAGGGACTGGCGGAGTCGGGTGTGTCTAAAATTTATGAACAAGCTTCAGAACGGCACAATCTGAAGGTAAAATTTTGCCTAAAGTGAAAAGAGGTGTTAGATGAAGCGATATTCATGCTAGAACTTTAACGTGAGAATTTTCCCAATTTTTATATAGAGATATGCATTTCTTTGTACTTTTTGTGCTAGATGATGTTACCATGTATGCTTGCATTTTATTTCTATTTTTCTTCACAAGGAAAGCATACAGGTTGCAAATTTCCATGGCCTCTCAGTTGTTAACATCTGGGGAGGGTCTGACCAGTTGGCCCAAGGCCCCATCCAAGTCCCATGGAAATAGGCCCTGGCTGATAGCAGCACGCAGAAATTGATCACATGTCTCAGAAAGGCAGATCATATGTAATGTATACGTCATATTTTTGAGCCAGAGGCTATGTTTATCTGAACAAAAGTTTTCTCCTGGTTGCGACCTTTTTCAGACCTTGCTTGAAGATGCAGAGCGATGCCGACATAAGATGCACACTGCCTCCGCGCTGATCGGGGGCTTGGCAGGAGAGAAAGCAAGATGGACAGAGCAAAGTAAAGAGTTTGCTGCACAAACTAAAAGACTCGTAGGTGTGTAAATTCCTTTGCTAATGAGATTATGTGTTGATTGTGATAGGGAGTTAGCAAATTTTAGCTTTACTCGAAATACAAACCAATACTTGATAACTTTAATCCCTCCTCCCCCTTTTTCTCTGTGTGTGTGTGTGTGTGTGTGTGTGTGTGTGTGTGTGTGTGTGTGTCTGTCTGTCTGTCTGTCTGTCTCCAGCAATTTCAGAAGGATGAATATTATTAGTCTGGCATCTATGCAACCTTATATGATGTGTTAATGACATTTAATCCTCTTATTATCAGGTCACTTTTAAATTTAATGCGGTGACCTTGGTTAATAAAATTATATAGGTTTCAAGTATAAAATTTTATAATACATCATCTATAGATCACATTGTGTATTCAACACCCAAAATACATATATCACATTGTGTATTCGACACCCAAAGTCAAATCTCCTTCCATCACCATATATTTGAGCCCCTTTGTAGAAAAAGATAAAGAGGGTAAACTATCAGATCACTTTTGAATTCTATGAGTAAATGGTGATGTTGATCAAGGTTACTCTGAATGGGAGGCTTTGTCTTCTGAGGTTTAATATCTTAAACTCAGAAGTCATCGTCTCATATTCATCAAGAGTCAAAATAGTTCAGAGCTTGACTATGAGCAGCCAGCCCTTGGCGGACCATTTGGATCCTCTTTAACAATGAGCTAAACTACTGCTTATTCACTAAGGCACAGCAACATGTGGTTACAGTTCGATTTCTGGAATTTTGTTTAAAAGAATGGTTATTATTTTTGTTCTTAATATTCTGCACCATTACAAGACTGATCATAAAGCGTTTCAGTGGTGTTTTATATTCCATTTTAGGGGATGTATTGTTGGCCACGGCTTTTCTGTCTTATTCTGGTCCATTTAACCAAGAATTTCGCAATCTGCTGTTAAATGATTGGCAGAAGGAAATGAAAGCCAGGGAAATTCCATTTGGAGACAGTCTAAATCTCAACGAGATGTTGATCGATGCTCCTACTATTAGTGAATGGAACCTCCAAGGCCTGCCAAATGATGACCTGTCCATACAGAATGGAATTATCGTCACAAAGGCATCTCGCTATCCTTTGTTAATCGATCCTCAGACTCAAGGCAAGATCTGGATTAAAAATAAAGAAAGCCGAAACGAGCTCCAGGTAATCGCTGCTCAGATATATTTATGCTTTTAGTCAAGTGTTATTGTCTCAGATCAACGCGTATCTGAGAATAAAGAAATATTTGATATTTAGAGACAGTTTTACACATTAATATTTAGATAGTAATATTTAGAAGTAATTTCTGAAAATCGCATTATTGGTGGTTGCTTGGAGCTCCCCTGAGGCCATCTTTCAAAGGTTTCAAACTGTCTTCCGTTTGGCCTCAGGCTCTCTGATAAACCGAGCAGGGGCGGGGCGCCGTGTCACATTAAGTGTTAGCACTTTATTTGGATACTTCGTAACCAGTCCACGGTTATTTGTCGCAGAAGTGGTGGTGGAGGAAAAGGCAGCAATGCCGCACAGAGCTTTTATGTGCTTTCCAGTAAAAAGGGAATGATGCTTTGCTAAGGAAAAGAATGGAAACAGTGTAAGCTTTCTGTACCATTTTGCCAAGTGTGCTTCTACGTCAGGGTCTCTAACTTCTCTGTCTCCTGTGCTGAAATGCTCAGGCGCCACTTTCTCTCAGTTATCTGTGTGTTGCATCATGAGAGCATCTGTCAAGAGCAAACATTTTGGTCTGGCTTCTAGATCACATCTCTAAATCACAAGTACTTCAGAAACCACCTGGAGGACAGTCTTTCTCTTGGAAGGCCCTTGCTGATTGAAGATGTTGGGGAGGAATTAGATCCAGCCCTGGATAACGTCTTGGAGAGAAACTTCATTAAGACCGGGTCTACCTTCAAGGCAGGTTAAATCTGTTGTTGATGTATAGAACAGTTTACCATGAGGCCAGGAAAATGTGACATAGATGAGATTTTCTCAATAGGCAGCAACTTGAATTCAAGTCCGTGACAAGAGGCATTTGCTTTTCTCTTCTACACTTCCTGAGCTGGGATTCGAGTATTCAAAAGTAGTCCTTTTAGGAATATCTCCTTCACACGTGTAATGAATCTGACTCCCTCTTGACGTTGGACTGGATGTTTGGTTTCCAGGCCCCAGCATGCCCATCACCCCTTCCATCCCAAATCTGGGCCAGCTGTTAAGAAAATCTGGATACCTTCTCCTTTGGCACTCATGGGAAATTCACATGATGTCACCCCCTATCTGTACCCATGTGTGGAATCCCTCCAGCCCCACTGTCTAACCATGACAAAACCCTAAAACAGCTGCCCATCCTGACACTCTCGAGTGATTTTTTTTTGGGCCTGCTTGGGAACCTAGCCTAATCTCCCCAGAAAATCTCATTATGTGAGTAATAAAACCTTTCATGCCCCTTTGGTGCACGCCTGCCGTCATTAGCCTTGACTTCTAAACCAAATTTTATGCGAGGACCTCATCTCACTTCTGCAGTATGTTCACAACAGTTTGGGCGATAAATTCGATATTTATCGTAAGGTACAGATTGAATTTCCTTCTCTCCGACTCCCTCCCTAGCAGCTTGAAGCCCCGTGACTGCCCGATGACCATTTATTTCTTTTTTAGTATGAATTATCTCCAGGCATCTAATTGTTTAAAGCGATACTTGGTCCCATACTAAAAGACACAATGGAGTGAAGCTCTGTTCTATGATTTTTAACTTTCTCTTTATAAAAAAAGGTGAAAGTCGGTGACAGGGAAGTAGATGTGATGGGCGGCTTCCGACTGTACATCACCACCAAGCTGCCCAACCCGGCCTACACGCCTGAAGTCAGCGCTCGGACCTCCGTTGTCGATTTTGCTGTCACCACGAAGGGTCTGGAAGATCAGTTGCTGGGAAGAGTCATTCTCACAGAGAAGCAGGCGAGTAGGGCTCAGCCTCCTTTCTACATGGTGTTGTGACTTTTTCATTGGTGAAAACAATATGATTAAAGTCATACTAGGATTGAATTTCCCCTTTCACCCTTATGTTTTTTTTTTCCATTATTAATTGGCAAGTATCTTAGATAACCAGTAACCAGTTATCTACCTAATACGTTTCATCTGCATCTCACAGATCACATAGATCACCAACTGATTTCATATGGACTAATGATGCACCTGTGGGAATGAATTTTAGTCTCATTTTCAGCTTCATTATTCTGGTTTTATATTACTTTATTTTTCTGAAGAGTTTGTTCTGTTGTGAGTTCTATTCACCTGTGGACGTTTAGATTTCTAGTACATGTCTATTTTTTTCTTTTCGTTCGATTCATTATTATGCTTTTGGAATGTAAAATTTAAATGTACGTAGATGATACATACGTTATCAATTCTTATTTGTTATCTGAGAGAGGTCTATATACTTTATGAGAAGATGTTTGTGACCCTGGGTTCTCTCTGAGCACCTTCTGGAGGCTTCTGGCTTGATTATGCTCAACAGGCATAACTCCAGATCCGTTTTCTCTACTTTTATTTTGTGGGATAACTTCAAGCTCAATGAAAAATGGCCAATAATTTAGTAATTTCCTTGTTCTGAGTCAGCATCTTCTCTGGGGAAGATGTGAGTCTTAGGCGGAGACATTAATAGGCCTGCTTTGGTGAAGCTGGATGAACCCAGAAAGTTGCTGTTGATTTTCTTCTAATTCAATAGCAATGAGGAGTTTGGTTTACTCTGTGGCCCGCTCCACCCTGACCTAAGGGTTTATTTAGATTAAGGCCTTTGGCAAAATCCTTGGAGTTCGTCCCTCCCCTTGTTTCCACCTTTCCTGTACGTCGTGTGACGCTTGCTCTTCTGAGACCTTCCAAATGTCTATCTCTGTCTCCCCCTCTCCCTTCCCTTCTTGATTTTATGAATCTTCTCTCTCTACTTTTTAATTTACAGTACGTACGTGATGGGGTCATACAGTTGGAAGTTGCTTTGAGAGCATTTAACCCGACTTGGTAATAAATTCACATGGCTGGAGACCTCAGGGTGGCGGGAACGGATGCTGCAGTGCCTACCACAGATGATCTACCAAAGTGATAACAGCTTCAAAATACCTACGCGTTTATTTTCGGGGCCTCAGTAGACGTGGCTGAGGAAGGTTAGCGTGGCCATGTCATTACATCGGTATGGACTGGGGGTCCTGATCCCCAGCATGTAATGTTGTCTTTGTGGCAGGATCCGGTCTTCGTATCTTAGGTTCTGCTTTCACCTGGGACGCTGACCTCAGACAGATAAGGGGCTCTGGTGGCCGTTTGAATAATATCCTTGCCCTTGGTTTTCTTTCTCTTCGGCTGAGATGAAGAGAGTCTCCCTGGAAAAAATAATATAGCCTGACAGGTTTTGGTTACGACAAAACACAGCAACACCAGCGCTGAGCCGTAATTGTTACAGCCGAGGTTTAAGATGAACCGAGGAGCACTTTAGCTCTGAAAAGGCTTTGAACAGGCCAGGCCTTTTTTTTCTTACTTCTGGAAAGTTGAATGTCTTGAAAAATTTACTTCTTTACTATTGTCTCATGATCGGAATCTGTTCCAGGTTCGCAGAAAATAATTCTTACAAAGAAGCGTCACTAGAGCATGTGGCCCTCGTGTTCCTGTCATAATAGAGGGTCGTCTTACCCAGATGACCCTGACCACATTATAATACAACGTGTAACCTGTGTTTTCTTTTCTCATGCAAGAAGTGAGCTGCTGGACTTGACTTTGATAAATTGTGACGAGTGTAATTTCTGCAAGCAGCATGGTTTTGTTTTGTTTTGTTTTGTTTTGTTTCGTTTTGTTGATGAGTGTAATTTCTGCAAGCAGCATGGTTTTGTTTGTTTTGTTTTGTTTTGTTTTGTGCAGCATCTGTTCTTTCTACTGAATCCTGAATCTGCTCACTTTGCTGAATCTCCCCAGGCTGGGTGGGCGAGTGGGTCTGAGTGAGTCTCTGGTGCTTTCAGGGCACTTCTTGTAATCCAGTGACTCAGCCGAGAAGAGATTATGTCTGTGCCATATGGACACAGATAGAAAACGTTTTTTAAACTCCAAATTGTTCCTTTGACTTCAGTGACAATTCAGTCTCTCTGACTATGATCACTTTTGGGTGATTATAAACATAAAATAACAATTTAGAATGTTATAGAGCTGGGGAGGAGGGGAGCTATTGGAAGCCAGGAAGATCCCGCAGAGAGGGATTTGGTGTTGGCAGATATCGAAGGAAGTCCCTTAAATGAGTGACTGAAACAAATGGCAAGCCTCTTCAGTCAGGTGAGTTGTGCCCTCACTGGTGTATACATTCTTCTTGTGACAATAAGAATGGCTTGGGACTATAACTTAGGACGCAAGGGAAAGACCACTGTTCTTTGATTTCATAAATTTAGCAGCTGTCCCAGTGTCCTGGGAACTGGGCAGCGAGGAGCCTTTTCATGCGGGATCTGGTCTCGTGAATGCTCAGCTGTTCAGCCTGCCCTACCTGCAGGCTTATGTGCTTCAGAACCTCGGAGCATGTGAATACAAGGAAGGCAGACTTTTGAACCGACTTACCACTTTTCTGTATGCTTCAAGGCAGTCATTTTAAATGCCTGAGTTGTTCAAGTTCACATCAAGGCCATATTCGGTTGTTGACCTGATTGATGTACCTGTGGGTAGATTTAGACAGCCTGTTGTTGTCACCAGAGGTGATGTACTGAGACCATTTTAAATACGCAGCAAACCAGTAGCCCTTCAGTAACTTTTCTTCAAAAAAAAAAAAAAAATGCTCTTAGCTCACACTGAACTTGAGGCTCACTCTGACCTTGATCCTAGAGAACAAGTCAGAAACTCAAAGAGAACTATGTACTATTAGGAGAAAACCACCTATATCAACTAACAGCTTTTACTGGTCATACAATCAAGGCCTCAGAGGTCATCATTGCCCAGGATTCTGGATGAGCATACAGGTAGATGATTTTTTTCCTTTGCAGGTAGAAGGACCTGAACTTGGTGGAGCTGACATGGGAAATAATTTAATAAAGACACTAAACAGACATTATTATCACCAGCTCACTGGTGGTGGAGAAGAAAATAAATCTGTTTCTGAGTTCTGTTGTTTATCTTTTTGTTTTAATTAACAGTGCAAGGTAAAGAAGAGAAAGACTCTTTGGGAATGAGAGTCTGGATGATATTTAGAAATGAGAACTCTGGAAGGTCATCTGCTTCCTTTTATTGATTTTGGAATTTTGGTTACACATGCCGTTTATGTAGAATTTTAGTTTTCATTTTCATCTTTGTGGAGCCCCTTAATTTTTGATCACTTAATCCATAAATTGTACATTTAGGAATATAGCAATAAAAAATGAAAAATTTCCTTTTCATTTTATCACTGTATCTCCTGGTATAAGCATAGTGTCACTGCTTTTATTATATAAAACTGCTTATGGAAAGGAATTTTATAGTAGCTTTTATATGTCACTTGCTTGTACTAATTTCTATATTATCTCAAATTTGAGATTCTTTTTTCTTTGTAACTTTTTTTTATTAGTTTCAAGTAATAAATTTGAGATTCTGATCTAGTAAATAAATGAATTAAAATAACTTACTCAGGAAGCTTCCAAATATAACCAAATAACAGATGGAGGCAAAGGGGATAAAAGCAGGTTTTGCTTGAGTTGCTGAATCTCAAGGAATTAAGAATTGATGCGAGTTCTGAGCTTTTGTTTTGCTTAAAGAGAGAATTTTCCTTTTCTCGAATGTTCCCAGATCTGAAGCACTGTGCTCAGACCTCACCACAGCTGTTCACCCAGCGCTGTTTGACCGACTAGAACAGAAAGTTGAGGCCACTGGTCTTTGCGCCTTCATACAATTTTGATACAACCTGCATTTTAACTTCAAGGCTTTTCAGTTACCGAGAGAGGATTTTCACATCTACAGTTCTGTAACCAAGACACACCTAGGTTTTTAAATACTATTTACTCATTGTCCTTCCCATGTTTTGATTCTTTTGTTAGCTTCACAGTTAGAGTCTCTCATATAACAATTTGACTTTCCCATACAGTTTGACTTGGGGCCAGAAGCACACCTTCTCTGTTGTTTCCCAGCCTCTGGGCTTCGTGCCTCCTCTGGCTTGATGTTCAATGTCATGGCCTTGGCCGTTTCCTCCCTCCCCGACCCTCACCAGCCCCATCTTTTCTTTCTTTTTCTTCTATTGTCTCTCCCTCTCCAAACTACCCGGAGGAAGAAATAGCCAATCGGGACAGTAATCTTCCAAAGCCATTCCCTCCCCGGCTACCTATAAAGGTCCTTCAGGAAAGACACAGATCTTCTCTTTTCTTGGGAAGAATAGCGCCTTTTCAGGCCATGAAGATTTTTTCATTTAAATGTATCAGCAGTGGTAGCACAGGTCACTTGCCTTACTTTTTGGACACTTGCTTTTCACAGAATTGGTTACTATTTCAACTAGCAAGTTGAAAATAGTCACATTTAAACAACAACAAGGCTCTTTTAAACAAGAAACTAAACGGAAGTAAATATATTTAATCTGAGGCATATATATTTATCTTCAAATGTATTTCAATACATTTTCAAATATATGTTGCCTTCAAAACAAGCTTAAATGTAATTACAAAAGTCACTTAAAATGATTTGACTTTAGGAAAGAAATAGATAGTAAAGGGGATATTGGTAATATTTTAGGTAACTTTCATATCATTTGCTACCAAGTCTTCTTTCCTTCATTATTTCTCCTTCTCTTATTTTGATGCCCATACTTTCTGCAGTCAAATAGAAACTACAGTACAGGAGCTTGAGGGCAGCCCTGTAGGCTAACTTTTTAAGGAACGCCCAAACGATAGCTGTTAATTAAGGAAGAAAATATATTTGTGCAAATTAATAGGAATTGGAGAAAGAAAGAACTCGTCTTCTGGAGGATGTAACTGCAAATAAAAGGCGGATGAAGGAGCTAGAAGATAATTTGCTTTACCGTCTGACGAGTACCCAGGGTTCCCTGGTGGACGACGAGAGTCTCATTGTTGTGCTGAGTAACACAAAAAAGACGGCTGAGGAGGTGACACAGAAGTTGGAAATTTCGGCAGAGACAGAAATTCAAATTAACTCAGCCCGGGAGGAATACAGACCTGGTGAGTCTGGTAATGAAGGACAGATGTCACAGGAAAATGAAGACAGAAAGAAATGAGAATGAGAGAAATGGAAGGAAGGACGTTATGCCAATCATTGTCCAAAGTGGGGCGGCCATTTATGTTTTGCGACATTTCCGTTCGGTGAAACTGAGATGAAAAAATTGCACAATCACGTAAATTTACTAGACGCTTGTAATTTGTGCAAGTTGGCATAACTTTTCAGGTTCCTCTGAACTTATTTTTAAACTAGAAAGTAAAGAGGGAGAATTTTTAAAGAACATGTGACAATAACTTAGTGAAATCTGAGGCATTAGTGCAGCGTTTGTGGGCTGTTCACTAGTTATCTTCGGCAATAGTAAGCCAGTGTTTCGTCCACGGTCTTTGTATCAGGAAGGTAGTTCTCTGGCCTCGTGAGAACTCTTGTCTTATCCACCAGTTTGCAAATCGGTGTTGTTCCTTGGTTACTAGAGGAACCTGCTAAAAGCATTCAGTCTCCTTGAGTAAGTTATCATGCCTCCTGGAAAAATGATTGAAACAATATCGTCGACTGGTGGAGAGTCAGGTGCATCCGCTTTGAGATGCCTTGTTTTGCCAGCTCAAGGCCAGGGTTGGGAATGGCTTCTTCATGACACGTAAAAATGAATGAGGCCCTTGTCGGTGCCCACACAACATACTGTGTTTTAAAACCTTCGATATCCCTTTAGGTGTTTATTCTACAAAAACAAAAAAATAGTAAAATGTATTTATAAGGGATCTAGAAATTCTAAAATGGAAAGTGCCGTTTGATGAACACAAATAGCAGACTACTTACACAAAGCCTATAAATAAGATTTAAGTACACAGAATGAACATCACTCTAGACTCCCATTGCTGGTACAGGGTCATTGATAAGATGTAAAAGTGAAACTTGTTTTCATTGAGCGTTGAGGCTGATCTGGGCCTGAGCCGTTTCTTTTTCGCCCTGGTACCTGCAGCCTTATTCTTTATCTTCCAGTCGCCACGCGAGGCAGCATCCTTTACTTCCTCATCACGGAGATGCGCTTGGTTAATGAGATGTATCAGACTTCACTCCGCCAGTTCCTCGGCTTGTTTGACCTTTCCTTGGCCAGGTGCGTCTGGGCTCAGGAAGCCAAGCTGAATTCTGTATTGTGGGCCAGAATGATGACTTTACATTTATAACTTCTTTTCCCTTTGCTGCTGAGTCTTACTCTTATCATTTTTTAACTCTAAGATTAGCATAATTACCGGTGTGTTAACAGATCATTCTCATGTGTCATATTATGCTCGGAGAAAGCTCCACCAACTGTTCATCCACTGATTGATTCCTGTGGTTTCACGTGTTTCTGTTAAACAAGGAAATTCCCAGGACATTGTCATGAGTGATAATGCCCTGCAGGAAAATTGATTTAGACAACGTGGAAGACTCTACTCTGTCATTTCATGTTGAGTGGATACTTGTTATTTTAGATTTAGGAGGCTTATCCTTGACGTGTAAAAAAAAAAAAAAAGTATCGGCCCTCCAAAGTTACTTATTCTCCATTCAACACGTTTTTATGGGAAATTGAAAAAGGCAGTGCGGTAAGCCTCATTTAAATGTTCTTTGTTCCAGGTCTGTCAAGAGCCCCATTACAAGCAAGAGGATTGCTAATATCATCGAATGCATGACCTACGAGGTCTATAAGTACGCCTCCCGGGGTCTGTATGAAGAGCACAAATTCTTGTTCACCTTGCTGTTAACCCTAAAGATCGACCTCCAGAGGAACCGGGTCAAGCATGAGGAATTTCTCACCCTCATTAAAGGTCAGCATGGCTGGAGAAAGCACTGGACACCAGTGTAGTTGTAGGGGTTGTCATGAGGGTCCCGTGCAGTGTTTCCTTCTGGCTGTAACAGTTTCCCTGCATTTCTTTGAAGATTGCATTTCCAGGAGATATTTTATTTCTTCATTGATTGTAAGAATATTTATTGAGAAGCTACTGTGTACTGGGGCACAGAATGGGCACTGGAACACATCAGTGAACAATGAAAAAGAAGAAAAAGAATCTTGCTCTTGTGTGTGTGGGGGAGCATACAGATAAAAATAATTAATAAGTAAATTATGTAGTATGTGAGAAGCTAGTAAGCACTATGGAACAAAAAAACACAGCAGGATAGGAGAGATGGGAGTTACAAGGCGTGTTGGGTAGGAGAAGTTTAAAATTCTATATGGGAGTGGGTCTCGAAGTAGAGACCCATCTCTGAGAGCTGGACAGGTGAGCAAAGGCCTGAAGGAGCAGGGGGCGCTGGCCCTGGGGACATTTATCGTGTTGAAGGAACAGGAGCCGGCATCGAGGCCTCTGGTGGAAGCAAGCAGTATGATGGAGGGAAAGCAAAGCAAGCAGGGTGGCCGTGGCAGAGTGGGCGGGCGACTGTATAGCTTGTTGTGTGGACATCCATGAAGCTTTGCGCATGGACGGGGCCCCTGCGCCAGTGGAATAAGGCAGCCTGTGGAAGGCTCGGAAACAGAAATGCGCTATCACATTCTTGAATGCCTGCCTGGACAGTAAATATTTGCAATAACTGTGGAAATGATGTTGGGGATCTACATGGTTTTATTATACCTTTCTAAGCAAAGTTTTTAAATATAAGACACAACTTTGTCTTGGGGGTGGGGGCTCATAACGTAACCTGGAGAGTAGATTTGTGGACCCTGATGGGGCCAGTAGGGAGCATGTGTGGATATGCAAATGCTATGCCTGGGGGTGTGTAGGTCCATAGTCCTACGTATATACAAATGCATATTCATGTTCATATACATATATATGCATATGCATATCCATCTCATAGCAACAAAGACTTATTAGACTTGAACTTAGAAAAGTATGATTTATGTACGATTCTCTCCTCTGTCTGTCTCTCCCTCCTTCCCTCCCTCCCTCTCCCTCCTTTTCTCCATTGTCTCAGGCACCCTTGCGCCTTAGGTTTCTTTATTTTCCGAGTGTCCTAAAGCTGAGCACATGGAAGATGAGCCATCTGGAGGGACAGCCCTCGTGATAGAGACGTGTGGGGGGAGCGGCCTCTACAAGAGCCCTTCGCTCATGCTGGTTTCTGACCCCACCCTCTGATCTTCTATCTGACTGAGCTGTCCTGGGGGGAGGCTGTTCTGGCAACCTCAGCTCAGGCACGATGCGCATTTCCCCATGGAAATAACATTGAACACAGCAGCCTGGTCCGGTTGGAATACTGTAACGTGGTTACACTTTGGCATGGTGATAACCAACATGGGATTTAGTGTTATGAAGACTCCATGGGAAAATAGTGGCTTGCGACTTTTAAAAAAATCTTATGTCTTTTATTAAATGTATCGGGGTGACATTGGTTACTAAAATCCTGTAGGTTTCAAATGTACAATTCAATAACACATCATCTGTATATTGCATTGAGTGTTCACCACCCAAAGTCAAATCTCTTCCGTCACCATGTTTGACTCTCTTTATCCTTTTCTACCTCCCCCTCCTCCCTTTTCCTTCTGGTAACCACTGAACCGTTGTTTGTGAGTTTTCGTTTGTCGTCTTCATTTGTTGCTTGCAGTTTCAGTGAAATCATACAGTTCTCATTTTTTTCTGTCTGACTTATTTCACTTAACATAATCTCACGATCCATCCATGTTGTTGCAAATGGCAGTATTTCATCTTTTCTAATGGCTGAGTAATATTCCAGTGTATATACGTACCACATCTTCTTTACCCAGTTATCTATGGAAGGGCACTCGGTTGTTTCCATGTCTTGGGATTGCCACTTTTTTGATGAATGGTCTCGAGCAGGTTATTTAACCTTTTCAAGCTTCAGACTCCTCAACTATAATGCAAGGATAGTCACATCGACTTAATAGGATTATTGAGACACAATTTATGCAAACCCAGACACATAGAATATGCTCAGCAAATAATAGGCATTGTTACATTGCTTTTAGTATTTTAGTTTATTTTAACTAGTCTGAGGCTTGCAGAGGTTGGACAGCTTCCTGTGGGCATTTGGCATGCAACGGCAAACCACAATACCGCTTTATGAACCAGTTTCAGAAGGTTGCCTTTTGGTAGTTACGTCGATGAGAGCTGCCCAAGGACGTGACCTCCCTCTGTAAGAACTTTAAAATCGCTTGTTTGAATGACAATGTTATGTAGATAGCAACAGTGTTTTGATTCTGGTCTTTTATTTACTCATCTCCAAGATGGGAAAGGGTCCACACAGATGGCTTTCTAAGTCTGCCTTAGCTATGCCGCTTTATGATTGTGTGGTGTAATGTGCGTAAGTCTTAACTTATAAGCATGTATTATTTTTACAAAATATTATGCTAAAAAGATCAAACTCGCTTTTTCCCAAAGCAAGGGTTTGAAGAGTGAAGGGAATGGCATAATTCTCTATCATCTTGAGAAGTCATTTTGAATTATTCCTATGTTAGCTATTAATCATCAGGAGTCCATTGAATCTGGTGCCATATTATCCAGGAATATGTCCCCCTGCCCATGATAATCATTCTTTGTGGCCTGTTGCACACTTTGAGCCAGACGAGATAGTCATCACACAGGTAGCCTACCAAACAGTGAGTAATGCTTTGGCGGCAAGGAGTATGCTTTCCTTTCAGTGAATCAGCTTCTCCATAACCTGTGTGTTTTTTTTTTTTTTTTTTTTCAGTTTGTTGGAAAATGGACAGTTTTCACAGGAATTGATATGACATTTTTCAACATGGTGCCATTGTCCTTAGGTCTTTAACTGCTCCCTGGCATTAAAGCCATCTGTTTTGATTTTCTGAGCTAATATTTTCATTGAAATGGCTTCAAGGCCACACTTACCTTGTTGGAAATACACTAAGATGGATTTGGCAAAAAGTAGCAATTTAGTGGGGTACACGGTACCTAGAAAAGGTAGTTTGGCTCAATAAATATCTTAAATATAATTATTTGTTTATGACCTACTCTATTTCAAAAAAAAATTTAAAGGTAGCCAAATACCTTGATTACATTCTCTTAGCAATTATGCTCAGAGCATATTTTCCCTAAAATACTTTAATTGATGTTATTTATTAAACAATATGTTTTACACCAAAGAAGACTTGCTAACTCTTTCTTTGACTTAAAATATGATTGTTCACACATTTGGTTTTTTTGAGGTGGGTCACAATAACGTTTTTTAAGGTGTCACTTGTTTTATGGTGCTGTGAGAGTTCTATGAGTTATATCAGGTTAGGTAAGTCATCAGCAGAAAGATGGGAGACAGTTCCCAGCGGAAGTGTTTGTTGTGGTTAGATTGAGCAAACACAAATGATACAGCACGGGGTCCTTGGGGTGTGCTCAAAATGGATGTAAATAGTAGCCTGATTTATAGAACTCTTGAAACACACATAGAGCTACTGACATTTCTAGAGAAATTCTCCCCTTAAAATGAGATTGTGTCATTGTTGAGTTCTTAATATTGACAATAGCTACTCATTTAGTGACCCTCTGCTTTGTCCTTGATCCTGTTTTGTGTGCTTTACACATATATTTTCAGACTTTCTGTAACCATCATGGTACCCAGGGTTCATTATTCTCATTTTGCGTATTTGAAAACAATGCCCAGACAGACAGGTGAGCTGGCTTGTCTCCGACCTTGGCCAGGTGGAGCTGAACAGTATCCAGCATCTGCCTGGCTCAAAACCTATATTACCAATTCTTAAATGTGTTTTGGTGAAATAGTTTTCCTTTAAATTTTAAAGCTCGTTCATCACTATGATTTATATTTCTGAGCTTAAAAAATATCAAGGTAGTAAAATCATTGAAATTAAAATAATTTAAGCAAGGTTGCTTAGTTTTTATAGGTTGTTTTATAGTAAAGAAGGAAAATCTAATCCTTTTATATGTTTAATTTTAAAGGTGGTGCTTCATTGGACCTTAAAGCTTGTCCTCCCAAACCATCTAAATGGATTCTGGACATGACCTGGCTGAATTTGGTGGAACTCAGCAAACTTAGACAATTTTCAGATGTCCTTGATCAGGTAACCTATGCTTTGTATAAACTTAAGGTAATGTTGCAGTGAGCACCTTCCTGATTTACCACCAGCTATAATATTTGTGGAAGTGAGAGATTTCTTAATACTGTCATTCAAAATGGTATGACCTGTGCTCGCTCTTGCTCACAGCTCACTCACGCTCTGATAAAGCATACTCCACCCACTGCAGATTGGTCTTACAGGGAGAAGCTATTTGCCCAGGAAGTTTAACTAATACTGCCCTGTGCCATATGTCAGTATCACCAGTCGGAGATCCACAAGTGGAAAAACTGATAGATTCAATTAGATGAAATTAGATACGTGTAGGAGGTTTTGCCTTCTTTCTAGAGATTAAATGAAAAGAAATCTGAACAGCCTGCCTCTCAATGCTAAATATCCCTTCTTCCCTCTTGTTCTTTCTCTTCTTCTCCTGCTTCTTCCACTGTACTGATTTAGCTAGGCATCCGGGTGTAAATCTAATGTGGACACTTGGCGTCTTATCTTTAGATGTTATTGCCCGTCCGTTATCAGCCAGTTGCTGGTGAATCGTGTTTGTATTGGGACCGTGGGAGCTGAGCATAGAGAGTTGAATTGGGACAAGCCAGGAAACAGGTTTTTGAAAATCAAATGACTAGCAAAGTGACATTGACAGCAAGATGAATTTATTTGGCTGCAAGTTGATGGCTTTTTTTTTTTTTTTTTTTTTTTTTAAGCTAGGTAATATTCTAAGGTTGGTTCTTGACTTCCCCGTTTTAAGTTGACCAAAAGCTTAAGTTCTGCTACATTTTCATGTTTTGGCTTACAACTGATGATTACCATGTAGTTAGGGTAAAAACCATTCTCTGGGGTTAAATAACTTTCACCTGGGAGATTTCAGTGTCCCCCTAGCTTATTCCTCCACAGGATGACTCCTAGTGACCTTTCCTGGATCATTATCTATTATCGAAGTTGTTATTGTCTGGAAATTATATCTTATGCCTGAAATTTCTCCACATTATATACTCTTTCATGATTGAATGAGGTTATTATTTTTTATTCTTACATGATACTTTCTAAATATAAACCTGGAATGCTTTTTCCTTTGATTAGACTGCTAAGAAATACACTTGGGGCTTTAATCAAAGGGAATATACTAGAGAATATATGATCATATTTATCTGCAGATGTTACTTGTTTGTTCTGTTTTGAGATACTCGCCCTTGTGATGCTCATCTCTCTTTGATTTTTAAGCCTCAAAGAATAACAGACTATGTTTTTTACCTCCTTATCATTTGCCTAAAGGAAGCAAGTGTCTGATTATTTAATGATGATATTAAGTGGTATATTTCAAATCCCTATAGATTAATAGAGTATTGACCAAAAAATTTCATTCAATAATGAAAAAAGAACATGTATTGAATGCCTCTTTTGTTGTTGTCCCAAGACGGGTTCCTCATCATGAGAAGATTTCATGGAGCAAATCATATTTCCTTAAAATAATGAAAATGAGTTTCCATTGACTTCTTTATTCTTTACAAATTTCTTACGACAAAGACATACAAGAAATTAAACAACCCAGGACTCTCTGTATTCAGAAGCTAGATGTAGGCCGGTGTTAATACAGACTAACTTTAGAGCAAATCGCGTTCGATTGTAAATTCTTTAACCTTTGAGCACTAGAACATAAAATTTAAAAAAATAATCAAAGGATATCATTCATGCATGTCTGGAATGGTCAGAAGATTTGATGAAAACTATCTGTGTACTATTCCTAAAAGGTTTTCCTACGGTGTGACATATTTTTATCTCCTTGTATTTTCAGATATCAAGAAATGAGAAAATGTGGAAAATTTGGTTTGATAAAGAAAATCCTGAGGAGGAACCACTTCCAAATGCCTATGACAAGTCTCTCGACTGCTTTAGACGTCTTCTCCTTATCAGATCGTGGTGTCCCGACAGAACCATTGCCCAGGTAAAAAAATATCTATTAAAGAAAAAGAAAATTTTAAGGACAGTGTCCTTTTAAATGTAAAGAAATATTTAAAGTGTTAATCCCAGCGAGCAATTTCTTGTAGGCTTCTATGTAGTTTTCTAGCAATAAAATGCAAAAAATGGAAAAGTAACAAATAAATATATCAAGGTATAGATTTGGGCTAAGTGATTTAATAATATTTTTTGGTCTAAAAGGTACAAAAAGAGTGAATGAGAAAACCATATTTTTAACGTTGGCAGACAGGTATAACATAAAGGTCATGTATTATTTTTCTGTATCATTTTTATATTAACTCAGAAATGAAATGGCTGCTGCATTTTGCAAGCAGTGAAGCAGTGTTCCCTCAGGTGGGAAGAATGTGAAGGTGCTGGGGTGGCGGGTAGACTAGAAGGGAAACACAGTGTTCTGCAACCTGTTGTCATTTCTCAGAAAGTGTCACAACCCTCGGCGCAAGAATAAAGATTGGCCTAAAATTCTCTGAGTTGTACATAGGGTTTAAATGTGAATCCTGCCTCCAAAAGATCCATCTTTTTGAAGACCTTTAATCAGCCTGCCTACCATCAAGGAAATCTGCTCGCTAAAAAGACTTGTCGTGCCTTGCCTTGACAATTAAAATCCCAAGTCTAATATTCAGCCTAGGTTGAATGTTTAAGGGCTTCTAAGGAGTAACCATGGGCCAGGTTTGTAATGGAATGTGGGAAATGTTCCCTTTCACTCTCCAGAGGGAGCGTTAAAAACACACTCAGTAACCATCTCCAAGTCCACTTAGGCACTGTGGACTAGTGCAAACGACTACACTTATGATTTATTGAGATAAGAAAAATGAGTTTCGCAACTCAGGACAGTGAGGTCACCCTTCCTTCAGTTTTCCTTCTCAACTTCATTACTTTTATTCTGCCCCAATGAATTGTCAAACAATTGCTTTATTGGGTTGGTGTAAGAGTTTCAGTAGTTCCTTTTTCCCTCTCTTTTTCTTTCTTTTTCTTTTTCTTTTTCTTTTCTTCTTTACTTCTTTTTGTCCTTTCCTTCCTTCCTCCCCTCCTTCCTTCCTTCTCTCTTATTTTCTTTCTCTCTCTCACGTTATTATTATTATTATTTCATATAATATGTTATTCGGTTCACTGCTGAAATTTAAGTCTTCCACACTCCTTTTGAACTTTATCACCTTCATCCCAGCGTCTGCCATCCGTAGGTTGACAATAGCCATGGCTTCCTGACTGATCTCCTGTAGTTGTTCTTGTCCACTCTCGTCCATCTTCTATATTCTAGAAGAAATAGAAGTGTGATTATGCCCTTCCTTTAATGGATTACCATGGCCCTTATGATAAACACAAGTCTTAAACCGGGTCTAGCAGGCCTTTCTGGAAAAGCGTTCTCTCCTCTAAAGTTCTTATTCTCGCATTAGATTCCTTGTGTGATTTTCAACCAGGTGCCTTTTGGGGGAGTGTACTAGAAGGTCTACCAGGTAGGCACATTCAACCGCTGTTCCCCATGAGCAGCACCGGCTGGTTCTCAGCATTTGTCTGAGCGTGACAGCTCCCATCAGGGGACATTCAGTTGCCTGGTGGCAAGGATGATGCACTGTCAGAGTTTCCGTTTTCTCATAAGTAAAATAGGGACCATAAAATCTAACCTGGATGATTGGAATACATTTTAATCAAAGTAGGGTCTTTAATAATAATAACAACATAGTAATTATTACATATCAATCTGAAAAATCTACAAAAGTTTTTTTGGAGTTTCTAACAAGGCTCAAATTCCTGCCATTTTACTAGGTAATATGGGGATAAAATACAGGCGGAGAGACCATAGCAGTAAAAAAAAAAAAAATGACCAAATGAAAAAAAATGTAAATCTGTAATTATAAAAGTCTCTGCCCTGTTTAGCTGGCCAGGGTTACAGTGGACATCGTTATGATCATCTCCAGAAATGAATTTTGGAAACCACGCCGCCTTGTACGCAGGAAGGATTCAGAACTAGTTTTGGTGACTCACGCACGTTTTTGTGGCAGGCCCGCAAGTACATCGTGGACTCCATGGGAGAGAGCTATGCCGAAGGGGTCATCTTGGACTTGGAGAAGACGTGGGAGGAATCCGACCCGCGGACGCCCCTTGTCTGTCTCCTGTCTATGGGGTCCGACCCCACGGACTCCATCATCGCCTTGGGGAAGCGACTGAAAACGGAAACCCGCTTCGTGTCCCTGGGCCAGGGCCAGGAGGCCCACGCTCGCAAGCTCTTGCAGCAGACGATGGCGAACGTGAGAACAAGTGTCGGCTTTCATGTTTTGTTGTTTACTTTACAGGTTCTAGAATGCAGTGCGGCAGGGGACTCATGGATTGTAAAGAGCTTCAATTTACGTACTGCCCGCTGTTTACTGAGTGGGAAAAGTATATCTATGAGATAATTTTCATGGGAAAACAGGTGTAATTTAAAACCTTTTCTGCTGAGCCTTGACTTATGGAAAACCTACCCACGCAGCACATCTTGTGTGTCCTCAGTTTGCATAATGCTGCCCCCTACTACAGATTCCAAATGCTCAGTATGGCCCGTGGTCCTTGCCCCTGAGCCATACACCCCAGCCCCTCCAGCTGGGTTCTTGGAATCTTCCATGCTTCCGAGTCCACAATGACGCCGGACCTTCCTTGAGTTCCAGAATGCATAATCTGTGCCCTGGAGTCCCCCAGGCATGGTCCAGATCCCAGAAGCCAGGAATTTGCCCTTACGTTGTGGTACCAGAGGTTTGAGGAAACCTGGCCTGTCGCCTTCCAGGCTGGGGCTTCTAGAGCCTCTGTGGATTGCAAATTCCGCAGCATCGTGAACATGTCATGCTCAGGCTTGGCCGTTGGGGGCCGCCAAGTGCTGGCAGCCACATGACAGCCCTGCTAATGGGTAGTCAAGTCCAGAGTTGGGCAATTTCAGGGACTTAAGTTAACAGGATGCAGGAGGTCCTGCATTTCATCTCTAGCACTTGGCTCCAGGACAAGGCCCTTATGTGTTTACTCTGGCCCAGCCCTCCCTGGGGCATCCAGTTGTGCCTGGAGGATCCCTCCAACCCCGCTCCCCTCTTTCTCCACACTTCGGCCAAGCAAGGGGAGGGGGCTGAACCACTCAGTTTCTCTTTCCTCCTGGAGAGCAAGCAGTTTGGGTTTAGATGCATTTCTGGCTTTTTTTCAGACCAAACCCTACTACTTCTTCTCTGAGTCCGAGCTCTCTGCCATTATCCCAAGACTTCTTTGCCCTCCAGGGAATCTGCCTGCTGAGACAGGACTGGCTTTCTCACCCCCTGCCACTGGGCCCACCACGAAACAACTGAGTGTTAGGTTCTGGCTACTAAATCTAGACACTCACCACTGTGCTGCATCCTGGTCCCTTTCCCCTAGTCTAGAGCTGAGCCCACCGGGTTCTAGAACCTCCGTATTTACCTCCAGGCTCTTCCATCTCCAAGTTGTGCCCTGCCCCCAGCCTGGTGCTGTGCTGTGTTTGATGCACTTCGTTTGCAGTTGGGAGAGGGAGAGCAGAAGAAGTATGATTGAAGTGTGTCCAGAGATGAAAAAAAAATCTGTATTTAAGAATCCCACATCCGGTCTGACATGAGCAAGGGATGGGTCTCCTTCCAGGCCCCTCCCTCCTCTCTTCTTCTGTTCCTCCCTCGGCCAATTATTGGACTTAGAACAAAAACACTAACAATAACAGGACACTTCCTGAATTTAAAATATTTACTTGTGAAACTAATAATTATAGTTTCAGGCAACCAAATTAGAATTTAAATGGAATATTTTTAACCTTTAGTTTATTCATGTTTTCTTTTTAGTAGTTTAATTTCAAGTAAAATAAAAATGTCATTATTCTTAGCATGATTATAACTTGTCAGAGACGATGGGTTTTTAAAAGTTTTTTAAAAAAGATTTGAGGCACTATGACAGAACCAACTGCCCGAGAATAGCAAAATAAATGATTAATAGGAAGAACTCAAAACCTTTAATACAGAATTTGGCTATGCAAAGAAGTGAACTTGGCTATGAGAGTCTGTGGGTGAACATTGAAAGTTCTCAGCTGAGAGACTTAGACCAGCTTCACCTATACATTCGATGAAAGGGAGAGACTGCAATCTTCTTGTTGTTATGTTTTGTATTTAATCTTTCGTTTTGAATGGTAAAGATAGTGTCAATTAAATTTTTCAAAGGACATGCCATATACTTCTAAAGAAAATATCAGGGAATATGTGAAATTCCAAAATGATCAGTTTTATATGTAACTCTACTAAGATTTTGAATCTGGTGCTTGGTTTGTTTCTTAGAAAGAGATTTAAATAGGCTGCACTAGTTAAATCTAAATGACTCCAAGTTACAGAGTCAATAAAAAGGCTGAGGATTATGATATGGACATTGTAGATGATTTTAGCAAAAATATTCTATAGATTAGATATATATTGAGTAAATTATTATTACACGTCCTAAAATTTTGCCTTTGTTGCTTTATACAAGGAATATTCTTATGCTCATATAATAATTTCTGAAAAAGATACAGCTTATTTTCTAAGTCTCTTGCTCTTAGAATGGTCAGATTCTCCAGGGAAATTTCTTCCACATTCTGGAGGGTACATGCCCAGCTACCATTATTCTGGGAACCTAGTGGGAGCCAGGAGGGGATAAGACTCAAAATCAGTGGGTAAACGCACCTGTTTTCAGCGAGGTCCCTGTGCTCTTAACGTGCTGGTTTCCTCCAGTCCACGCGCCGTCTGTCCTGCCTCCTGCAGATCATCAGCTTTCCATCTTCCTTTAGGGGAGGCAGGACCACGACGCAGGTCTGGACTTTCAGTTGTGTGTCACTCCTGTCACCTGTTCTTGAGTATTTTGGGAGTCATGTGGTATAAATCAGGGTAGACCTCAGCCTTCCCTGAATGCCAGTTGAGGATTCAGCTCTCCCGAATCCTTGATGGTGTTGTCACTCACATTGTTTCTGGCCTTAAGGGTTCATACCTTTAAAAAGTCCCTTCACTGTAGTTTGCATGAAATTTTGAGAGAGAGCTGAGCTCAGTGGATGTTTTCAATCAACCATCTTTATACTGGGAGGTGCTTTTATCTCTCTTCATGTATCACTTGGTTGTTTTCATGACTCCTACCATATATTATTGGTACAGTTGGCATGCTCCATGCCGGACAAGTACGCGGAATAAAGAAAAATATAGCTATCTCAGTTAAACATTATCGTATCCTTAGATTTGACCCAGATCAATTTAAAGTGGTTAGTGTGCTTTTCTTTTAAATTTTAACTACTTAATTTTTAAAGAACGTACTAAAATCTCTAGAAACAACACAAATAGCCTCATTTCCATTTACTGTTGTCGACACAGGGAGGATGGGCGCTTCTGCAGAACTGCCACCTGGGACTGGATTTCATGGATGAGCTGATGGACATCATCGTAGAAGCCGAGACCGTGCATGACGCCTTCCGCCTATGGATGACCACCGAGGTTCATAAGCGGTTTCCCATCACGCTCCTGCAGATGTCCATTAAATTCACCAACGAGCCTCCGCAGGGCCTCCGGGCAGGGCTGAAAAGAACATACGGCGGTGAGTCAAGGAATTCCTTCAAGTGTGTGGAGTGCTTGTACTTAAATTGTTTTCTTAAAGAAAGTATGAAAACTGAATCGGCTAGGATATCATTAGAGCAAATAGAGCTGTTATTCAACACGGTGGGGAGGGGATGGCTGGTTCCCTTGGTCATGCGCCTTTGGGACGCGCTCTGGCAGTGACAGGACACCAGCGCTCAGAATTTCCCACCTTTTATTTTGCCCATTTGCCCAATAGTGCTCTACTCTGGCCTTTGCTGTTCTCTGCTGGACACTTACCTTTTTATGTTAACATCTCAAGGTGGTATTTTCTCATTTGTGGTTGTCATGCCCCATACCTAAAGTAGGACAGGAGCCTCTTCCAAGAGGAGAGGCTGAGTTAAAATCACGGCCTGCCTCCATGTCATGCAGCCATAGGTCAGGATGTCGGAACGGTAGCTAAGTTGGAAATCAAACAAAAGCAACAAAACCAGACCAGAACGCCCCTCCAGTCACAACCGGAAATGAGATTACTCTCTTTGCCTTTGCTTCCTCTGCGTCATAGCTTCCTATCTGCAAAAAGCATGGACCTCAGAGTTAGCAACCCTGATTCCGGCCCTTCCCGAACAGGCGCTTTGTCTTCTTGAGTGCTGGTCACTCAGACGACCAGAGCATCAAGTTTTCTTACATGTAAAATGAGGACAATAAAATCTATCCAGGATGATTGGAATACAATGTATTTAAAATAATAATGAATAGAATAATTATTACATATCAATCTGAAAAATCTACAAAGAGATTTTTTTTGGAGTTGCTAACAAGGCTTAAATTTCTGCCAGTTTACAAGGTAATAGGATAAAATAGATGTGGAAGGGTGATGACAGTGAAAAAGATTACCAAATGGAAAAATATAGGATTATATATAATATAATTAATATAACATAATATGTTATGTTATACACATATATACATATATGATAATCATTATTTTGAGAATATACTCAGGTTGCAATGGACTTACATATACACTATTAACAATTTTAATATTAATTAAAATAGTATGTGTATATGACCCAAATAATAATAACAATATTATAAATTTTATTATCGTTGTTATTCAATAGCAGCAGTAGATGTAGTAATAGTAGTAATAGTACCAGCATTTATTTTACCACCATTATTCTTCCACTTCTATTTATTCCTACATTATCTCGTTAGATTGGCAGGAACCTGATCCAGGTAAGCAAGCCCCTCCTCCCCTGAAATCTATTTGCAGATTTTTCAGGGAGCAATGTCCTCTGGATGCCCAAAAGTAAATGATAGTGGTCATATGAATGAGATAAAAATAATTCAAAATAAGAGACGTTCACTATTAGGATTTTACAAAAATTAGTGACATACAAGTAACAGAAAATAAAGATGTTTTGAGAGATGATACTGTTTTTCACCCAACCGACCGCGACAAGGTGTGAGCCAAGACCTGCTGGACGTGAGCGGCGTGGCACAGTGGAAGCCCATGCTGTACGCGGTGGCTTTCCTGCACTCCACGGTCCAGGAGAGGCGGAAGTTTGGTGCCCTGGGGTGGAACATCCCCTACGAATTCAACCAAGCGGACTTTAATGCCACGGTGCAGTTCCTCCAAAACCACTTAGATGACATGGACATTAAGAAGGTACTGTGCGCACGCCGCCGGTGATTTTGGGTTCGGGTCTTCAAGCTTTGGGGTAAATCCTGTAAGATCGATGCTTTTCCGTGCTTACAGAGTCATTACATTGAAGTCATAGCCACTTGGGTCACACTTGGCTCTTGATTTCATGTAAAAAGCAAACGGATTTTGATTATCTTTTCATTTCGCAGAGGCATGTTGACACTGCATATAAGACAACCTAACAGAGTCTAATGGAGGGAGGAATGAGTGGGGAAACCTCGTTTTTAAATTTTTGAAAATGAAAATGAGAGTCTAGATTATTTTTGAAGTGTGTGCTTTTTAACGAATTGCCTCAATATTCTCAAAAAATAAACATTTTTAATGTTGTAATTAAAGTATGAAAATATGAATGCATCAAGAGAGTCTATTTTGAGTTATGACCAAGAGTTTGGAGAGATTGCTCTTATTGCCTATTTAATCTTCTTTCTGCACTTCTCACGTTACTGATGGATGGATGGATAAACGAATGAGTGAATGAATGAATGAATGAATGAATGACATTGGTGACAATGAACACATAAGTGTTGCTTGGTAGAGATGAAGACAAGTTCACTTCTTTCTACCATTGGTGACAACGAACACATAAGTGTTACTTGGTAGAGATGAAGACAAGTTCACTTCTTTCTACACAATTATTCTATAAATTTCCCAGGGCGTCTCCTGGACCACCGTCCGCTACATGATAGGCGAGATTCAGTATGGAGGCCGAGTCACTGATGACTATGATAAGAGATTGTTGAACACATTTGCTAAAGTTTGGTTCAGTGAAAATATGTTTGGACCAGATTTCTGCTTTTACCAAGGATACTATATTCCAAAATGCAGCACAGTGGATAACTATCTTCATTATATCCAGGTTTGTCGACATCAGAATTTTATACATAGAGCAAATATCCACAGCATTGAGCTTTTTGTTATTTATTTACACTATATATACGTCTTTTAATATAAATTTTAACGGTCATGCGTATTGAACCGTCTGCCGTAGATGCCTTTCTTCATATATTTATATTTGCCTGATGATTAAAATGTTTGTATTTGTTCCGAGCGTGTGTTTTGCGTGAATTCCCTCCTCCCTTCTCTTTTAATGCTTCAGTGAGGACTATTCTTGGAGAGGTGACAGATAGGGCACATTTAGAACTTGAGGACTACACAAACCCCCTGGAGCTCTCTACCTGTGAGACTTCAGCTTCCTGTGATAATTGGGCAGAGGCAGCCTCTAGACTCAGTCTCTTCTACTTTTCAGTCTACTGGCATCATCCCATAACATCTGTCCTTCGTTCTGGCCTAATGGACAGCATATGAGTATGTTCAGGAACCCATTCTGTATAAGAGCCCCCTCAGTCAGGGCCGGATACTACCTCATAGCTGGGGAGGGGGTGGGGGATGTGGGGGAGCTGTCCTGTGTAGAGTGGTGAGCAGCAACCCTGGCCTCTGCCCACTAGGTGTCAGCAGCACCCCCTTCCCAGTTGTGACAACCAATAACATCTTCAGAGATGGCCCAATGTCTCCTGAGTCACATGGCTCTAAAAAAGAGAATGAGATAGATTTTGACAGGAAATTTGAGGATAATTTTGATTTGTGTTTCAGGGTAACTACATTTTCTGTCTCTATACCTTAAATTCTTTAGATCGTTATTTAGCAATCTCTTTTGCTTCTATCTAAGATTTATCTCAAAGAACAAACCAAAGCACAACAGCCCCAAAGGATTAAATTTATTAGTATATTTAGAGGTTCTGTGATAAATAAATGTGATGAGTTTATCATATGTTACCACCTCTATACTTTTATTAATTTAAATCAACAAATATGTTTCTTAATCACACTAACGTGTCTTCAATCATTAGCACTGAATGAGAAAATGCCTACGAAGGTATAAATTTAGATATGCCTGTACATATATTTACTTATATATACCTCATTTTACAACGGATTTGCGGTTGCTCATAAAAAGACATTGTGTAAAAAGGAGTAAAATAAAGGAGTAGAAGAGAGGGAAAATATAAGAAAAATATAAAGCTTAGGGTGCTGTTTGCACATAGAAATATATATATCGAATTGCAGGTAAACTTTCTGCCTTTCAAATAGTCAAGGAAGATTTTTGCCTGCTCGTTCAGCTTCTGTCTCTCGCTCTCCACGTCTTGCTGTCTGTCTTTCTGGCTAACGTAGTTGCTCTCTCAATATTTCTCTTTTCCTGGTCTTTCCTCGGGAGAGTACAGTTTCCTTTTTTGGGCCCTAATTGCTAAAACTGTCACTTTCTGATATCTTAAGAACACAGTAACCGTCAGTTATAGAACATTTGTTTAAACAGCTGGCTTGAATTAAATGAGACCTTTAGAGAACAAACTACCAATCCAAAGCTCCCTTTCTATCTTATATATTATAAAATAAGATAGCATCCCTTTGATTACCTTTACTTAAGGTACAGGCATTTAAGAACTTGGAGCCTATTTTGTTTTTCAATGTTAATTTTTTTCAAGGCAACTTTAGATTTCTTTTCTGGAGAAATGATTGCGATTGTAGCATGACCCAGATAAGACAGATCATGTAAATACTTATCCCAATGAAAACATGTTTCTTTCCTAAGAAAGTATAATTTATTTATTCATTCATTTATTTATTTATTTATTGATCCATTCTGCAACTCTGTGCCTTTTATTACTGAGTTCAGTCCATTTACATTTTGGGTGATTATTGAAATATAAGGTCTTTTTATAGCCATTTTATCTTTTGTTTTCTGGTAGCTCTGTGTTTCCATTGCTTCTTTGTCCTTGTGTTTCTGTTTTCTTTATTATGGTTGGCTTTTGTGGGTTTTGTCTCTGATTCTTCTTGTTTTATGTTATATACTTCAGTTCTGATGCTATGGTGTACAGTTACCATTATAAATATGAAAAAGATAGTTGTATATATATATATATTTCTTCTGTGTGTGCCTTACCTTCTTTCCCCTTTGCGAATTTGGATCTTCGAATCCTCCCCTTTCAGACATTGTTATCTCAATTTGTTTCTATGTATGCTGAATGTTCATTACTATCTTGCTATAGCCATTCTCTTCTTATTATTTAAGCTTATAATGCCCTGTTGTTAGTAAGGGTTGCACTCCTCTGCTTCTATTTGCCTGATAGTCACTTTACTCCTAATTATGTATTTTATTTTTGTCAATGGGTTTTCAAGTCTTTGGGGGTAAATACCCAGTAGTGGGATTGCGGGATCCTATGGTAGATCAATTCTTAGTTTTTGAGGAACCTCCATACTGTTTTCCATAGTGGCTGCACCAATTTGCAGTTCCACCAAAAGTGTATGAGGGTTCCTTTTTCTCTGCATCCTGTCCAACATTTATTATTACTTAAGACAGTATAATTTAATTGGTGCTTATGTCAGCAGTCTTTGCTTACCTGGGGTATTTGCTGTTTAGGGCTTACCCAACTACGACAGCCCTGAGGTCTTCGGGCTGCACCCCAATGCCGACATCACCTACCAGAGCAAGCTGGCCAAGGACGTGCTCGACACTATCCTGGGCATCCAACCCAAGGACACCTCTGGCGGAGGGGACGAGACCCGGGAGGCCGTGGTGGCCCGGCTGGCTGATGATATGCTGGAAAAGCTACCCCCTGACTACAGCCCTTTTGAAGTGAGTTGAAATCCTAACAAATTATCAGCTGTGGATGTGTCTGCTGAGGAATGAGGAAGGAGGGGAAAATATTTTTCTGAAATTAAAAAAAATATATTTAAAAAATCTCTCTTCTTGGAAAACCAGAAAAAGGTTTTGCATTTATAAATGTGATCATTTCCAAATGTAGATAATAAGGAAACGATGAGAATGTTAATAGTCATAATTAAATTACTGATGGGTTGGGATTCCTTTTGTAGAACTTTCTCTTGAGGTCCTCACATTGCTATTTGTTCAGAGGAAAGTAATGTATTCTTAGAAAAGCCGATTATTTTTTAAAAAATGTTACGCAATTTAATGCACACCTTAAACTCTGGGCCTTCTTAATTTCATGGAGTGTATGTCTACATCATTAACTCTTTGCAGCTTCTTCATCTCACGAGTTTTAAAAATCGATTTGTCTTTTTAATATGCAGGTAACTTCTAAGCAAACTTATGAGTATGAAAGTTAATTTTTAGACATTTTAGCAAATAGTGTGGAAAGACTTACTCTGAAAACGCTTTTAAACCTTTGAGAAAAGCAAAAGTAACTGGCTTACTTTCCATGTCCTCATAAGAGATGACCTGGACTAACTACGTGACACTTTTGTCACAGGGCCACCATGTTTTTTTGTATATTGCCCCTTTTCCACCTAGTTTCAAAAGGCAACCTACAACATTTTGTTTCTTTAGCATCCTTTTATTTTCCACGAAGCAGACTATTTTGACTGCTGGTACTGTAGATTGAACTTGAGGACCTTTCGCCAAGGGAATAACATCCCTGGGAAGAAACTCTGATCGCTTGTGTAGAGAAAAATCAATATTGCAATCAGCTTTCATAAACGCCTTTCGTTATAGATGTATCAGGAAAAAGGTCATTCATGTCTAGCGGTGGTTGAAATTTATGAAGCATTAAAATATCTAAAAACACAGCAATTACATAAACAAATAAATATGGTAAGTAATGGGGTTTAGAAGCGTCTCCCTCCGTTTGCTGAATTTGTCAGTGCTGACTTAGGACAAAGCGACTCAGCCTAGCACAATAGCTGATCCAGAGAAGATTCTTAATAAATAATTGGGAGATGGAAATGATTGGGTGGGTGAGTGGATGGATACTTTGATGGAAAACAGAAAACTTTGAAAACACAAGCATGGTTTTTCGAGGCAGTCAGCAGAATGGTTGTGCATGTGTCCATGTCCATCTGTGTGCGTCCATGCCCATTTGTGTGTGTCCGTGTGTGTTTTTGTTAGTTTTAGATTGGCAATAAGTGATTATTTCTCAGCCAGCACACTTGCTGTTTGGAAGGCTACATGGTTCTGGCCATACATTTTATATTATTCTGTGAATTAATGGCTGCCTGTTTTCTCCCACATGAGATGAGAAAAATAGGCCGGCCGTCTAAGAGATATTTCTTTTCTTATTTCTTCTTCTCTGTTTTTTGGCAGCGGAGGAAAAAAAAAAAAGCTTTCCATTTATGGAGTTGTGAAATTTGGGACCTTCCGGAAGCCCCAGTTGCATAAACACGTCTAATTTTTAACATGTGCTGAATGTCTCCACGGCAGGTAAGAGAGAGGCTGCAGAAGATGGGGCCGTTCCAGCCAATGAACATTTTCCTCAGGCAGGAGATAGACAGGATGCAGAGAGTGCTCACCCTGGCCCGAAGCACCCTGACCGAGCTAAAACTCGCTATCGATGGCACCATCATCATGAGTGAAAATCTTCGAGATGCATTGAATTGCATGTTTGATGCCAGAATCCCTGCTCAGTGGAAAAAAGTACGTTTAAATCTGCTCCGACTCTGCCTGATCACTTTATCGTTGTGAATAATTATCATTGGCAAGTGGAAGGCATCTAAGGATAATTTACTTAAAAGTGTCCTTTTGCTTAGGGACTAATCCCCTTATAGTCCTATAGTTTTAGACTGTAGGTGAGGAAGGAAATTATGTAGCATCTCCCACATATTAGGCGCTCTGCTGGGCAATTTAGATGCGTTATTTCATTTAAATCTTACATTTTATTGCCCTCATTTTACAGATGAGGAACTTGAGGTTGAGAGAGGTTAAATCTTTTCCCAAATTACACAACTAAGCAGTCCAAGAATCAGAATTTAAACCCAAGCTCTTGCTCTTCAAAGCCCATGACGCTAGTTTCACAGAATAGCATGTTCTGAAATACACTCACGTCAAAAGTCACACCAAAGAGAAGCATTTTCCTTTTTTTCTGTCTGTAGATAGGCGAGTATATGTATCTCAAGATAGCAAGAGTGCTTACTGATTACCTGTTGGTAATTGTGCTAAATACCAGATGTGGTTTTAAGAAATAGTTTTCTCCTTGGAAATGTAGAAGGACTACTGGAGTATCTTTTAAAGAAGGAAAATGTGTGTATTTGAGGGAAGGGAAAGCAATGACATCCATTTCTTTGTTCTATATTTAAGTGTGTGTATGTGCGTGCGTGTGTGTGCGTGCGTGCGTTGTATGCAAATGCATTTTGTGGGGAGATGTCAGTAAAATTGTTAAGATTAATTATGGCGGAGGAAATACGTGGAAAAGTGCAGGGGGTGTTGCTGCACTCCCACCCCTGAGAAATCTAGATCTGCCATGGCTTCCGTTGTTCTGCCTGGACACTGCCATCACCCGGGGTGACTCTGCACCCACAGCAGGAGCTCCTCAAATCCTTGACCCCCCAGCTCCCTCCAAATGTCTCTGCTCCAGGGTTTTCACGCCTACTCCCCTTCGGAAAGGCATAGGCTCTTCCCTCCCTGAAAGTTCAGCGGGAGGAGGGAACTGGGGTAGATGCAGGTAGAGGAACGATTCACCCACTTGCAGCCTGAAGCTATGAACGCCAGGTGAACCCGGTCTGTGCCCGGGTGCAGTTTCCTCCATCTGCACTCAGCGGGCTGGGAGAGGCCGGGAAAGACGGATGATTGAGGTCATGCCATGTTGGGCTTCACTAGGCAAGTGCCATGAAGGACATTTAGTTTTCTGGGGCTGCATAGCTGGGTGGTTTAAACAACGGCGACTTATTGTCTCACAGGTCCAGAGGTGGGAAGTCCAAACGCAGGGTGTCTTCAGCGCTCCCCTGCAAAGACTTTCTGTGAAACCAGAGCACACAGAGCAGAGGAGTGTGGGTCCCCTGCAGAGAGAGTGGGGCTAGGTTTCTGAGCATGTACCCCCATCTTTCCTACTGCCGATAGGACTGTCCTGCCCATCTGCCGCCCCTGTGCCGAGCCGTCGACACGCATTTTAGGAGCTTGGTGTTGTTTCTATTTCTCCCCCACAAGTTGGGTGGGTCCTCGGCCCCACACAGTCACCGTGGGACCCACTTGATGGCAGCCTTGCCACCATCAATCACTGTCACTATGCTCCACCGGGAGCGAAGTCAGCACGGGAGGAGGGAGAAATGAACAAGGGCCACTGGGTCTAATCTTCCCAGATCAGAATAGAGCCATGGGTGTGACTTCAGCGCACACACAGACGACTGGGAACTGTAGGGGACGTGTGATGAGCACAACCTGTCTATCACGCTCCACCTCCCCCACGTCAGATGTGCTTGTTTACCTTCTCGAAGTAAGGGGAGTGAGGGCACAGAGGAGCTTAGTGTTATGTGAATGGAGCTCTCTCTCCTTGGAAGGAAATATGGTTGTGGAGATGACGTGCAAGAAGACAGTGTTTGATGAGATTTAAAGTGGGAGTGAGGGAATGACACAGAAGGACATGAGGATGGTTAGAGGTCAGAGGTCACAGGTCACGAAATAAGAAGGTGGGGTATGAAATGAGTCGTTCCCATGGATCCTGCTGTCACCAAAAATGAGTAATGAAAGTAAATAAACACAGTATATGGGTTCTGAACTGGATTCTGGAGGCAGAATACCTGGATTCAAATCATGTGTCTGCCACATCCAAGCCGTGCAACCTCGAATAAGCTACATGTTTCGCTATACCTAAGTTTTCTCATCTCTAAAGTGGGAATTATTATATGTCCTACAGTTACTGTTCCTGTGAGGATTAAAGGAGTCGATGAATGTAAAGTGCTTAGAACAGTGCCTGGCATCCGCTCGGTGCTGTAGGTGCTTGCTATCACTAGCACCAAAACCCCACACCTCTAACGCCACCTCTGTCATCATCACCACCCCCATCACCGTCACCGCCCCCCCCCCACCACCATCACCACCACCAATACCATCTCCATCACCACAACCACCACTGGTACTGTCGCCATCCTCATCATCCTCATCCCCATCCTCATCCTCATGAGGACAGAGTGGAAGAGTAATCCAGGAGCTAAACTGATACATAAGAGGGAGTGACCAGTAGGCGGTAGAAACAAGAAGGGTTGAGGATGATACGTCCAAATGGCGTGAGACTCAAAAGAAGGGAATAATGGGAAGTGATAACTTATAACCTGTCAGAAGCAGCGAGGGTCTCTGCACCTCTCCTGGTCCTGAGGGCTATGTAGTAAACAGCAGCCTACATGCTGAGAAGGTTACAAGGGAAGCGGTCTTTTCTGGGTGACGGGGAACCAGTTACAGAGGAGGTGGCAGATGTTCAGGGAAGAGGCGAAGGATCTAGAGGAGTTTGCTGATCGTGGTACTGAGGATGCTGAGGGTGCAGTGAGAAGACTTGGGAGGATAGGAGGGCTGGGGTTTGGGTCAGATTGGAGGATACACAGAGAGGGCAGCATCTGGAGATGAGTTTGGGTCATGGGGTTACTGGAGGCTTGGCCTTTCGGAGATGCCTCAGGGAAACGGGAAGGCGAGACCTCACAAGGTAAGAGCTGATGGTCTCATGGAAGAGACTCACTCAGTGCTGAGTCTCTGATACCTCCTCTAGGGCTTCCTCAGATCCCCAAGGCGTGGGTCCTGCAGGTAGTATGAAGTACCTGGGGAGTGCCCCTCCCACTGTCTTTCCATCTTATTTGATGATGCCACCATCGATCCTTCTAGTCACACAGTTTAGAAATGCAGAATCAGCTTCGTCCAGACGCCTTCTTCTCATCTTCGATAAGCTCATTGCCAAGGCCAGAGAGTTTTCTCTCTGGATTGCCTTTCCTTATTGCCAACAACAGAGAAAGAACCTACCTGGTCACTGGCCGATGCAGGTTTGTTCCCCTCTAAACCAGCTCCCCCAGCATGGTCGGCACCTGGGAGGATCTGGAACAGGGATTCTTGCCAGGAGGCCTCTGTCAGTGGTTCCCTGTGCCCTCAGATCAAATGCAGTATTAACATTTCCCTTTTAGTTAATACATCTATAAAGATAGGATAAAATGAGTTACCTAATTTTTAAATTATGGTCTTTTTATACAGGTTTCTATTTTACTCAATATATTCTCAGGGCCTTTTGAAAAATAGGCAAATTAATTCTTAAGAAAGTTGAAATTCAAGAGTTATATCTACCCAGGTTGATCATTACACTTATTCATACATAAAATATTGCAATTATAGGAAAACGTTATAAAATATAATTTGGAGATGCCTGCCAGTGTGGCTGCTGATAACATTAATGACATACCCACACCAATTGTAATAATAGAAGCTCCACATGAGAATTCAGGCAGAATGTTACAGGCAATGAATGCAATTAACTTGGTGGTAAAGGGACCTATATTTCCATTTGTGCTTCTTCATCAGAGGAAATCAAAGTGCTTGGTAAGGGACGAAAACTTCAGAAGATAACTGTTGTTTGCCTCATTAAAAATGATAAATGGAGAAAGGCTTTTGCAGGTTATTATCCAAAGAATATATTTTAAAGTGTTGATTAGACCATGAGCACATTTACGTAAACAGAAATCCTGTTTTATAGTGTATCTATTGGAAAAGTAACCTAAGGAAAAATAGTTGAAACCTGTTAAATGTAATTCAGTTAATTGTTTTAATTGCTTTATAGCAGAATTGGTAATGAATATATTCATACTTGGAAGGTGATTCTATTGACAAGACATCTTGGATAGCATCTGAGCTCTGAATCGATCTGGTATTCATGTGATGGTTACCAATTCTATCATAATATCTTAAGGAGGAAGAACCATTTGGAAACCTAAATTTCAGAATGCCAAAGGAATTCATGTCTTTAGGACTTTTAAGTTCTAAACGTGGAATTGATTTTTCATCATTTTTTTTTCTGTGAACATAGCCAGTTACACAGCAGAATTAAACCTGTATTCATTGTTTTAATGTATGCATTTCAGGTATCATGGGTTTCAAGTACGTTGGGTTTCTGGTTTACTGAACTTATAGAAAGAAACTGCCAGTTCACCTCTTGGGTTTTCAATGACCGACCCCATTGCTTCTGGATGACAGGCTTTTTTAACCCCCAAGGATTTTTAACTGCAATGCGACAGGTAACAGCTCTGACTTGAACCTCTTGTATTATAATTTTCCTCTATAAGGTTTGCTTCTTTTGTTGTAGTTTAAAAGAATATAATAAGACAGAGAATGACTATCTCTTTTGGGCACTAGCTGTTACATTGTCCTGAACATAAACCCAGCAACTCGTTTCTCAGGCTGCTAACTTGAATTTCAAAATATTTTTTTGTCATTTTTTGTATTTGATTTTATATTTTACATATATATATTTGAAAGTGCAAGTGGTTAATTTGGGACACGGATATTTGTTCTGAGAGAATCTTTTTGACTTTAAATACTTTAAATACTGTTCTACTTCCTTTGAATTGGGGGTAATTTGTCATCACTGTTACGCTGTTTATATTAAGACAAAACCTCCAATTGCTGATTTTATCCTTGGCTTTTGTTCTTGCCTCGAGTAGGAGATAACTCGGGCCAACAAAGGCTGGGCTTTGGACAACATGGTGCTTTGCAACGAAGTCACCAAGTGGATGAAGGACGACATTTCTGCCCCTCCCACAGAGGGTGTCTATGTGTACGGCTTGTATCTTGAAGGTGCTGGCTGGGACAAGAGGAACATGAAACTCATTGAGTCCAAACCCAAAGTGCTCTTTGAGTTGATGCCTGTCATAAGGATTTACGCAGAAAACAACAGTAAGTTTTCTTGCATATTTAAAGATGGTTGGTATTATTGGATTGACTGACGTCATGAACATAGGATCTCATTATTTTTGTTATCATGTAATAAGGCTTTGACTATTTTATCAGCTAGATTCACATTCGTACCCATATTTAAGGAGTATTTATTGACTACTAGGCTCTTTCTTGAGGCTATTTGGGAGGCAATGGTTCTAGATGATTCTTGCCTATGTAATAAAGTAGATAAAATATATATGGACACTCATAAAGGTTAGCTTATGAGATAAGAAACAAGAGTTTGGAATAGATAATCAGTGGTGGGAAAGGAGGGGTGAAGTGGGAGGAAGTGGTCAGGGCATTGGGGCCTGGATGAGCTTGGAAGGGCGGATATGATGAGGTGGGGCAAGCGGTGGAAAGAAGGCTTTCTAGGCAGGATTGCCCAGGGCTCCCTGGAGGTGGTGCCTCCACTAGTTTGGAGATTTAAGCCAGGTCGTGAAATCCAGACTGAACTCAGGGACATTCGATTTAATCCAGTTGCTCATGATAAACTGCTGGATTCATATTTCAGCCTATAAATGTAATGATACCTCTTTGAAGCATACACATTATTCTACCTTGACAAAATCATCAAAGCTGTATTTGGCAAGTCTAAAAATACATAAACTGTTTTCCATCATTGGCTTGATGTTTTCTGGAAGCTTTTGTTGTTTTATTTCACTCAGCTAACATCTTCATAGCAATTATCCGCTTTCAGCACACGTGGGACTTCCCCTGTTCATTTTATTTTATTTAAGCTTATTTTAAAATACAAACTGTATTTAAGGTGTACAGCATGATGATACACGCACACACAGTGAAATGATTACTATAAGCCGTGAACTCTAGAGATAGCCATGATAATGGATCCCAAGGAAGTACTGATTTCGTGATAGACACACAAAAGATTTTTCTTTAAACAAAGGATAAAATGATCGCTCTTCGAAAGACAGCTTTCAGTATCCCCATCCCTTAGGTAAATCTCTCATTCGGAAATATGAGGCAAGGGAAGAGAGTTTACAAACTATGGGCATTTATTTTTCAAGCAAACATAGGTTGAATGCCTAATACATAGCCACGATGGTAGATTGCAGGGAACACAAAGGTCATTATGAACCAGGTCCGGCCCACAAGGGACTCCCAGTCTAGTGAGGGAAACTGGTGAGTCAACAAAATGGCATGTGACGTACGTCGTGGTAGAGAGACACTGAGGATGCACAGGGAGCCTGGAAGGAGAACACGGCTGTGCCGGGAGGTGGCAGAGATGTACTTGAGGACAAGAGTGAGTGTGACGGGGAGTTGGAGAGAGATGTTTCTTGGCAGAGGGAAATAGCGTTAGCTCGCTCGGTCATTCCATGAATCCTTATCTGGCACTGACCACCTGCTGCACGCTGCTTTGGTGCTGGGGGTGCAACAGCGAAAAAAGACGAGGCAGAATCCCTGTTATCATGGAACTCAGTCTCAGAGAGGGAGGGGCGGCCGAAAAGGAAGCAGACACAGTCAGTCGGTCCTTGCTACTCATGGGTTCTGTGTTCGTGAGTTTACCTACTCTAAAATGTATTCGTGACCCTCAAATCAATGTTTGTGGCACTTTTGTGGTCATTGGCAGACATGCACAAGGCAGTGAAAAATTCGAGGTGCCTGACACTCAGGTTCCCAGCTGAGGGTGACTAAGGTGACCCTCTGCCTTCCTGTTTCAGCTGGCATGCTGTAAACTAGTGGCCTTCATGGTCTGTTCAGTGCTACATTTTTCACATTTTTGTGCTTTTTGCACAAAAATGGCCCTAACCATGGTGCTGGAGTGCTGTCTTGTGTTCCTAAGTGCAGGACTGTGTCTTATGGAGAAAACACGTGTGTTTGGTAAGCTTCCTTCATTCAAGCATGAGTTATAATGCCATTGACCTTGAATTCAATGTTCATGGGTCAGTGATGTATATTAAAAAGGTGTCTTTAATTAGAAACACACATAAAACAAGATTGTGTGTTGATGGGTTGATGGGCCTGTGACCGGAGCCTCGCAGGAATCTAACCCCGTATTTCCCCTGGGAGCGAGTGTTCCGTAGTCCCTGATTCAGGATTCATGGTGACTTTATACACGTATGTCCCATGAGTAATAAGAATGGACTGTAAATGAACCCACTGATTTCAGAGAGTTTTTGTTTTTAAAAAGAAAACATACACACGGTGTGCTAGGGAGTGAAATGATTTAGGGGTTCGGGGAAAGCCTCACTGAGGAGAGAATGTCGAACTTGGAGATCAGAGAGGCAGGAGGCGGCTCTGCTAATATCCAGGAGCAAAGGCAAGGGTGCAAAGGCGTGAGTTGGCAACAGGTCTGCTGTGTTTGAGGAACAGAGAGAAAGTGTCCGAAGGAAGAGGAGCCGGTGGAGAGAGCTGAGCATCAGAAACGAAACGCGAGACGCTTAGCACCGTTCTGGGCACATGGTGTCACTCGGTATATCTTAGCCGAACCTCGAAGGACACACGTGTCTGCCTGTGGCTTCGTGTTGACTGATTCGTAGGGGGGTGCGATGTCCTGGGACAGTGACTGTTTTGTAGAAAGGATAACCAGATGTTCTTTTAGCCGAAAGTCACCTTTTAGAAATTTTGCTTTATCGTTATCATCGCAGCTAGTCAACATGTTGTAAAAATCTTACCTTTATAGAATGAGAGAAAAATCTTTCTCGCGTGGCATTAGGTGTTACTTTTTTATTTCTTGTGACTAAACTACAAGAACCCATTGCCCTGTGACATTGAACATCTCAGGATGGTGGTAATAAAGTAATAATTTTATAGTACAGGCAATTCTTTATTACTTAAGAACAGATTATAATAGAAGAATCGTACTCACCTGCTGGGCATCGGTCAGTGGTGATGCTCATTAGAAGCACGTGAGGGAGGATAGCAAACAAGTGAAGGAGAAGTGGCCAGTTTCAAAGTACTAAAAAAGAGAGAAACTTTGGTTCTTTTTTTTTTTTTGGTTTCAAAGAAATTGATGGAAACTTGTTTTGCCAAAGAGTTTTGTCATTGGAGAGGTGTTTATTGACAAAAAGCTAGCATTTTATTTTTAAACTAGAAATCTAATTTCCATTCAATTTTGGTAAGTGACTAGGGCTCTCATTGAGATAAAGAGCAGTAGCATTGTTAATGGCCAAAGAACACTCCAGAAGTGCAGCATTTTAAAATTAAAATTCTTATAATGAATTGTTTTTATGGCAATATGAAGGGCAATTTTCACTTTACATAACTCATCGAATTTTACATACTGGTTTATTCATTTTCAAGAAGATATCTAGATATTTATTTGAATTTTAAATATTGAGTGTATCCCCAAATGTTTGTTTTATTTATATTTCTTGTTAGGACATCATGGGAAAGTCACCCAAAGAGTAAACACTTAATTCACCAAGAGGGCGAAGCCATCCACACCAACTCAGATCCTCTTTTCTCAAAGGAAGTTGAAAAGAGGCAGACCTAGGAAAGATGTTTCCTTAGAGATTTGCTGTGTAGACAGAGTGATGCTTCTAAATGAATTGCAGTGCTGTAGCCCATGTGGTAGGAAGACGGTGATCGAGACATTGCGAGGGAACAAAGCAAGACTCACATGTACCTGTGGTCAGGAAGTAGGGTGAGAAGGATCTCAGGATCTCTGCAGCTGAGGATGTTTTCTGATAGAGAAAGAGAGAAAGAGAGAGAAGGAGAGAGAGAGAGAGAGAGAGAGAGAGAGAGAGAGAGAGAGAGAGAGAGAGAGAAGAGGAGAAATCTAACATACCTCAGGCACTTCCTGCATTGCAGACATTATACCATGACGAGTATTCACATATATTAACTTTTTAAATCTTTACAACTCTGTAAGTTATATGACAGTATTTACAGATGGAGAAATTGAGGTTTAAAGGCATTATATAATTTGCCTTATGATTCCTGGCTCTGAAAGCTGGTATCAGAATCACATTTGTGTGCTGTGGGATGAATTCAAACATCTGGAAATTCCTGTGGTTGGTGTTCTATTTAAGACTATGTATTTAAGGAGCTCTGCGGTGTCTGGGATGACGCTTGACTACCACGGCTACATTGAAAATGAGGATAGTCCCTTTATTTTGAAGTCATAAGTTTATTTTTCTCAGGTACGTGGTGAAGTCGATGCAGTGAAAGTGAAACTGGCGGTTGACAGTAAACACGTTTGGCTCTTAGATCATAGAAGCTTTAACTAAATGTTTCAGTTGCTTTCGTTGTCACATAGCTTATAGTCAAAGATAAGGAAACATATTAGTCACGTTCTGAAGACCTGCCTGTAAAGCAAGTTCCAGGAGAAATGTTTGAAGATATACTTTATTTGAGATAATGGAAAAATATAGCGAGATAAGCACAAAACAATGATAGCTTAAACCATGGTGCTGGTCCCAAGATGTGTAGTTTCTGCTCTTTGCTTTAAAGGTAGCATCACTGATCCACTATTATGAGATATTTGGCAGAATTGTGGTTCTTCGACCCAGCACTCCTTGTCCTCATATTATAATTTTAAGTTGCCGATGTCCTGTTACTTTGTCAAGCAGGAGAGGATAGCTCCTGGGTCACAGGGAGAACTTACGAGTTTGTTTCACAGAAGGAATACGTGTCTTGGAGAAAGTTGCGACCAGCTGCTGGTGCCCCAAAGTCTGGTCGCACAAAATGTTGTCTGGAGAAACACAGACTTTCCCCTCTGTTCCCTGGAACACCCCTTCCCTTATTCTCTAGCCGCATAAACGCTCCCCTGCTTTTGCTTTTCGAGGAGGATGGACTTGGGAAATCGTGCTCTCCCGTCCTCTCACTTTGGCCAAATCGAATAAGCCTTTCTCTCTCTCCGAGCACCCGTGGTTCAGTGTTTTGATTTAGCTGCCCATCGGATGCTCAGGCCTGAATTTTGAGAGGTGATTCAGCAACAGAAGCCCGTTCCCGGTACGGATGAGCACTGTGACTCCCTGGGGCCCCCCTCCCCCCATGCCACAGGCTAAACGTGGTCACCTACCTCGCCCTCTAGGGGGTCACATGTTCTCAGGTAAATGGCAGTGGGCCAGGTACTTGGATATTTGAGTTGCTTTCTCGCCTTTATCACCCTAGTAATTAGTCATGTGGCTTTGAAGGAGACTCACATATGCCACGAGTTGAATTCAGGTATCCAGGTATCTTTGGTTTACCTTCACATCTTCCTGCCGTTGCTGAGACTGAGAAGTGCAGACTCTGGACCCGTTCTGGCTAGGTGCGATTCTTATCCCCTACAGCTTTGTAATCCAGGATGAGGAACCCACGTCCTTACGTTTCAGTTTTCTCATCTGTCAAATGGAATTAATAATGGTACCCATCTCATAAGGTTGTTAAGTGAATTAAACTGACAGTGTCCAGCACGCAGTTAGCATCCAATAAATAATTTCATTATCATTACTAGATGTTATCTCGCATGCTTGGCGAAGGATTAAAAGTAATAGCATATGTAAGAGTGCACCATTTATTAACTTAAATGTTATTAGCAAAAGAGAGGTTAAAATAAGGAAAGATTTAGAGGTTATTAGGGGATATCTATGTAACTTGGTTATTTTGGATATCGGAAGGAATATATGGTGTAATGATATACTATTAACACTCGGATGAAAAATGCAAGCTAGAGAGTTACCTAGTTAGAAACGCAGTTCCCTCGAGGTGTTTTGTTATCACCAGTTAGACGACCACCTCTCTCTGCGTCTCCTTCTGGAGCCCTAGGCTTTAAACATATTTAGCTGATTTGTTCCACCTACGTAGCCTGTTTATTTTTTTCTTCAAAGTTATTTGTCTAACCGGGCATAATGGCTCGGAATCATCTGTTCCTGTGGTTGTTTCGCGTCTGTCAGCACTTTCACTGTGAAATTATATTTTCAGTGGCTTCTAATCTTTCTGCAGAAGTTTGATGCGTGCTGTGTCTTGGCACGCCCAGCTTCAGCTCTGAAGCAATTAAAAATAAATAAAATTGGGTCAGTATTTCAGAGAATTTGTACCTGCTTATTGAAAAGAATACTGTTTTTATTCTTGACTTATATTTCTTGTGGGATTAAAATCCAAGTCATCAAATACGTACCAAGGTGTAATTAATAAAATTATCATTTCTTCAAATGTCAGACTCCAATGGCTTACTTCGAGATTTATAAAATGATTATTAGACAAACTTTCATCCAGAAGAACCATCAGTTATGTATTCATTCTGTGTTTACAGATCCTAGGATTAAAGGATTTAAATACATCAGGCAGTAGAGCTAGTACTGACTGCATTTTATGAATTTACTGTCATTCACATATGTTCTTATATTTGCCTGATTATTATTACTAATGATATTCCCCTGGTAATTTAAAATAATGTCTAGACTTAAAAATTAGGTGTTACATTAATTTAGATCATTTCTAATGATTCATTTCATGAGATTAAGCAAACACATAGTTTTAAAGTACTATAAAATATCTGTGACTTTGTTTTAATATGTGATTTAGAATGTGATTTCCTAGCCTTGGTAATATTCTTATTTTTGGTCCAGATAACTCTTTGTTGTGAGGGGCTGTCGTGGGCCTTATAGGATATTTGCAGAATCCTTGTCTTTATTCACAAGACGCCAGTCGTGATAAACAAAAGTGTCTCCAGATGTTGGCAAATTCCTCACTGGGTATAAAATCACCCCTGGTTAAGCATCTCTGCTTTAGAATATTTATTTTCTATTAAAACTTACTTACAATACTGTCACATTCAAGTGTTTAACTTCTTCCAATAAAATTAGTTATAGTGGAGGTATAAGAACACCGCAGGTTGAAGGTTTTATTGGGTCAAAAAAAATGAGAAAATGAGACTTGAACTTCTGATAGTGCCTTGCTTTTGTAATGTGTTAGAAAAAGCTAGATTATTGAGCAAGTTAGTTTGGGGAAATAAATGCTATTATTTGATATATTAACTTTGATATGTTAACATTGCATTTAGAAAGTTACTGTTTCCATGATTCAATGCCCATGTTTGTAGCACTAATTCACCAAAGCAAAGTGGTCCTCTTAGTTGAATGTGTTTTCGTTTCAATAGTTATGTGAGGGTCATTTATGATACTGGCTTTCTAGAGGAGGACAAGGATGGGTGCAGACAACTTTCGTTCTGAAAAAATTTGTAATCTGGAAGAGAGGGGAAGTAATATGCTGCTTCCTGAGATGGACGTTATAAGATGTGCAAATAAACTACTCCGGGCAGAGTGGTTTTAACCAGAAGCTAATGGA